GAACAATTAACAGCCATTTACTGTAATTTGACACATACCTTGAATGTTGAAAATGCATCAGAGGCAATGTCAAATGTTGACATTTCGACATATTCAAAGAACCTATAGAACCTTTGATCATCTAGCACAGCTCTGGCTAAGGGCTCATATTTGATGCATTCCCTGAGCATAATCCCATCGTTTAAAGCCACTTCCTGGCTTCTATAACTGAAACAGTAGAAAGAAAAAAATCAAGATTAGTGAAATCAGAATGGTGAAAAACAGACAGGCATTAATATAACTTATGAGTAAGAATTAATTATTAATTAAAGAGATCACTAAACATTTGATCACAAACTTACCCTCCGACAAGGAGAAAAAGTATCTCTTTATTGTCCATAATGTACTCCACAGTTGGACTTCGAGTTCCAATTTGTCTTCTGAGAACACTGTTAAATATTTGAGCCACATCTTTCTTGCTCTAAATGGAAAGCAAGCTAATTACTAGACAGTATCACAATAGATAAACAGTTCTAACAATATGTTGGCAGTCAATTGATAGAGCACACGAGGGTAGTCTTGTAAAGGGGTTTTCAATTAAATGATGGCATAAGCAAAATGTATCATCAGAGGCTGGGGGGAATTTTTTTTTTGTTTGTTTCAGTTTATGTACTCTAAAAATTTATTCAATAAGAAGCAGAAGAGGAATGGTGTTATAGCTTTTGGCATGATCTCATCAGCTGGTAAGTTTACCAAAATAAGTTTGTCAGTAGTAATTATTCAGAGAGTAGTTGGTATGATTCCTGTTGTGATCATCAGAATCAGGGAAGCCCTTAACCTTTTGGTCCCTGAGAGTAACTAGTAGCTAATTTATCCTTGCAATATCATCTCTGAATCAAACTTTAAAGCCACGAAAATAAAGGAGTTGAGCACCAACTAAAGAGGCAAATGCATAGAGAACAGTATGGAAAATATGCACACTTATATTAGGATTAAAGGCTTCAAAAAATTGATTGATATCATTGACAGATAGATGAGCAATGCTATATCTCTCTGTTCCACTCTTCACTTGCATTGATGGTAGGTGCTGATAATGCATGCTAGATGCTCTTGTGTAAAGAAAGAGAAGAAGAAGGGCAAAATCAAGTTATTGTAGAATGATGATAAAGCTCCATGCAACCCTTAATAAATTTCCAAACACATTATATATTACACCATCAGATATGATTCACAAAACTACCACTTCTACCACTTTTTCATAAGAGAAGTCATGTCACTGTATTCTGAGAAGGGAATTGCCTTGAAGGAGACAAAATTTTTCTTAAAAATTCTTCCCATTAATTCATTCGTAGCAATTCAAAAACCATGACATTACAAGCACAGAAACTCATAAAGTAGATAACACACAACAGGAAATTTAGTCAAAAATTTAATAATAATAAATAAAAAATACATCACCTCAAAATCTAGTTTGTGTAGGTGTTGTATTAGGATCTTGAAGAGATCACAATTGTATATCTCTTGTGCAAGCTGGGCCACATGTTCAGTCACTGGACCTTGGTCTGAGAAAAGATTCCATATTTTCTTTGTTACTAATTACTTTTATTGGAAGTATTTCCTTCTTTTTGCGAGTAGAAAGCAGAAAAAAAAGTATGGAAGTAGACAGCAGTTAAGACAACAAGCTCGGACAAAGATTACAGAGACTGCTGGCTTATTTTAAGGCTAATGCCAACCTATGAGGAACCATTGGCAAGAATTGCATTTGTTTGCTTTTTTTTTTTTTTGGGAAATCCCACACAACTGTAGCACAGGAGAGCACAGGTAGGTGAGCACAAACATTCAACTTGATAGTCTTTCTAAAAAAGCTTGCCATGAGAGAATTTGGAGACTAGATAATGAGCTGTAATGATGTACTTGAAAGAAAAATGAAAATACCTCCAGACCCATACAAAATTGTCTTCATAGCACTTAGCGTCTTAGCAAGTTCTTCAAGTGCCTGAAAATAATCATTAACATTTCAATTTTTATTTGGTGACATAAACAATTAAACATAGACACTTTTAATTAGTAAAAATAACAAGGATAAGCAAGGTTATGTTTCACATTCAAGTAAACCTGATTATAGGGTGGTACATGTTGGCAAAGTCAACAAAACTGTATGCTTCTTTTGTAAAAATGTCCCACAGTGAAAAGAAGTCATCAAGATATCTCTTCCAGACCAAAGGTTAGAGGGGCTAGCCATTAACAGTTGTTTTTCTACGTATGCCATTTCTCTCTCTTGTAGATAATCACCATGATAATATGCAAAAACATGGTGCAGTAAGGCAGATTTCTTTAAAACAAGATGTTGGTTCTAAAAGGTCGTGGAAGTAGAATGATAGAATGATAGTATGAAGAAAGTAGCGAATTCGGCACATAAGTAGTGAACATGAAGCAAACTTGAATGTAGCATACTTGACGAGTAGCAAAACTGGCTGTTACTGTTTGTTAAATTCCCAACCCCAGGGCAAAAATTTTGTTCAAATACCCCACCCAATTTATTTGTAAAAGGCAAATCAGTGACTGTGACTTGATACACATTGAACAAGCTCTAAAACCTAGACCTTAAAAACCTTGTAGACCAGCCAGGCAAGGTTCAGATTGCCCACCCAATGTTGAAGCTTTATATTGATCACCACATAAGAGGTAAGATCCCTAAAATCAATATATTCACACAATTTAATTACAATAACCCATAATTTGTGCTTTTCTGCTTTTCCTTGACCTTGATGAAAAATGAATGGCTGTAATGTTGTTTGCCAGTAATATCTTGCAGCCAAGTTGTTTGTATGTCATATCATAACATGCCTAATGACCAAGGCAATGGGGGGAATTTCTAAAGAAACTGTACTGCTGCATCAGCAAGGAGTATTTCAAGACAATTTGGTGTTATCAACTGAGTTCATACTGTAGATTGGCCACTATAAAGAGTATCCTAAGTTAATGTTTCAAGCATTACTCCTTTGTAAGAGCACATGATGAAGGGATAATGCTAAACATCAGCTTTAGGAATTAATTATGGTGGCCAATTTACATTTAACCCTTTAACTCCCACATCAAATTTGTAATTCTCCTTACTGTTAACTATACGATTCTTTTAATGTTAGTTCAGAGAATTTAGTATTGGATCAAGTAATTATCCCCAAATTGATATTCTTCTTTATTCTCACCACTCATCTGGTTGATATTGTATTGATAATGCAAGGAGAAATTCTGTCTTGGTCACTCATGGGAGTTAAAAGGTTAATTTATCAACTCAATTGATAAAACCAAATTATCTTGTAATGACTGAGTCAGAAAATATTTGGCTCTCTCCCAGTCAATAAGTGCATGTATCCTCTTATATCATAAGAAGATAACTCACCTTGTCATATTTTCTGCTTCCAGTGGACTCATTTTCGATAACTTGTAAGTCATCATGAGCAATCTTTACAAGTTCTGCAGGACTCTTTTTGGATGAGCCAAATAAAGGCATGATTCTACCAGAGTGTTGATCTCAGTCCCTGTATAAAGTTAACTTTTTCAAATCTACCTTTGCCTTTCAGGAGAATGTTGTAAAAGGTATCACAGATTATGCATGGGTTCATGTACAACTGTAATCATCATTAAAACTTTTGAAAATTGCTATGATTTTTTTTCTTTGAATAGGCCACTGACATACAGGAGGATGACTTAGCATCAATAATAATTTGTATCTCTGATCAATTCACATACTGTAAATCATAGGCAAGACAGTTGTAGTCAAATGAAGCTTGGAATAAACAATTAATAAGGCTTCAAAAAATGCTATTTGCAAGATCAAATGCTCAGACTCTGAACCTCACAGTTTGTTTCATAGAAGGATGCCTGAAAAAAATTCCCTTCTTGTAAGAAATTGACTTTGAAGGTCTAAAAGGCCTGATGATATTTCAAAATGGAAATCAACTAAGGTTGTTCCTGAAGCCCTGATTTCTTGATGCCTCTTTAAAAAAATGTATTCTCTATAAAAAAAGGCACAAATACTTTATAGAAGAAATGCCTGGCCACAATCATAGTATTTTTAGGTCAATTTTCATAAAGCTAGTGTTTGTGTTAGACAACCCCTCATTACAGATCTGCATATACTGCCTCACATGTTTATTTACTAAAGCCTTGAAAATATAGGAATCAAGAGCTGCATTAAAAAAAATGTATTTAAGGTTTTAAAACTAAGCTTGAAGATCAATTCATTTAAAACTGCCAAATCAGAGACACGATTCTTTTTAAGCTTATTAAGGAAATATGTCAAATTATTCGCTACACATCAATGCACTACACAGTTTAAAAATCGGTCGGCAGAATATTCTCATTTTTACACGACATATTGAATGATAAGAATGATCTGAAAGGTATTCCAATAAGTAAGTAACCTGTGTATGGACAAACCCTACCCCTAATTGCAACCTGTAAGGTAGCGACGAGTAGATTTCAAAGCGCTGAAGAACTCGGTTGCATGGATTAAATAACTTTCACTTTTCTGGTGTTTTACATGCGTACGTCACTCATGCATTTAATTTCAAGATACAGAATGATTCTTCAAACTTGTACAATTGCAGTAACTTGCAAGCCCAGAAACTGATCCAAACAGAGAAAATTAACGGCTTTTAAGCAACAGAAATTTCGTAATTGTAAATTGAAGGTGAAAGACTAAAGAATTTCATGAGCATCTAGTTTTTATATGATCAGGAAGAATGCGGATTTTTTAATGCAAGTAGCTAATTACATCACAGATATTTCTCACCTAAATTCCTGGCAATTACTTCTGCTTTGTACGATCAACTTTCGATTCGATGAAAGGTAGAAAAAAAAACACCAGAAAGGACTGTTTTCAATGTGCACTCCTGTTCAAGTCAACGGAAGCGACTTACCAGCATCGATCGGTCCAGTTTTCACGGTCAAAATGGCGCTTGACACATATGTCATCTTCAGATGGTCGTACATGACATGTAAACTGACTCTGTATCATGGCACGTCTTTGGACACCTCTGGAGACAAATGCGACCTCTGTCCTAAGTCTTTCCTTCACTTTTTTGCAACTCTTTTTTGTGGATAATTACGTGGTTATTGTATGATGCGATGACACATTTTACACTGGTGGGTGTAAATTTTGGCACTATATATGACTTTGTTCAAATCATGGACGGAAGGGAATAAAAAGTTTAAAAGGAGATAATTGGAAACCAGTAGAAACAAGCAGCAAAAGGAAGGTCAAGTCAGATAAGAAAAAATAAATATTTTTACGTTCTTCCCAAGAAAAAGTACTCTTAGCCAATGCATGAATTTTTTTTGTAAGGATGGACCAATTGGAAAATTATTCTAGAATGTGGCATTCCCAAGCCACATGAATGTCCCATATTTTTTCCAAAAATTTTCCTTAAACTCTCTGTGGAGGAAATGTTTTTCAAGGCAGTGCACTATTAAATTTGTTAGAAATTGTTCATGACATTAACTTTCTGTACCCCCCCTCCCTCGTTTTTTATGGTCCATCCCAAATGAAATAAGAATCAAAAAGCAATTTTCACCGAATAGCATAAGTTCATGTGAGGGAAAGGCAAGGAACCTTTTCCCTATGAAAACATTAGCTTGTTTTTGTATTAAATCTACGAAAAAAACCTTTTTACATTTTCTTTTTCCACAGGAAGGACCATTTGTGTACTTCTCTCTAACTGGAAGTGTTAATAACTCCAACCACATTCTGGCTGAGTTGTGTGAGTACCGGTAACTACACTATCAGTGTTGGTGAATGATACTTTTTATTAACTTCAATGGCTGTCATTGGTTCCAGTTGCTGTGGAACCAAACAGCTTCCTCATGTTAGATATGATTACAAATTAATTCTGATTTTAGGGAAGGAATATGGCAAAGCTGATTCAAGGTGGCTACACTCTGATCCAACAATTGTTTCACTAGAGATTCTGACAGTCTTTCTCACAGGACCATTAGCTTTGTTGTTGATTCATGCCATTTCTTACAACAAACATTACAGGTCTGTCTTGATATTTAACCCTTTACACCCTAAGATTGGTATTCATATTCTCCACACTGCTCTCTTTACAGATCCTATGCTACTGATTAGGAGAATTTGTTAGACTATCAGAAGCTTCTTAAATTGCTGATCATTTCCTTTATACTCATGACCCTGACATTTTATTCAAGGGTGATATTGTATGGAGAAATTAGATGCCAGTCACTGTTTGGGAAATTAGAAGGAAATAGAGATCAAAACCAACATGAAATTGGTATACCCAAAGATGTCAAAAGTGGCCTCTATTTGAAAGCTGTAACATATCAAGGGGAAGTTTGAGATTGTGCCATTGAAAGAAACACTAAAGAAACATTTTCTTTTCTTATCACAATTGTTCTGAGGTTGAATCCAATACTTGCAGGTAGAGAGGTTTTCTGGACAAATAGTTATGCAGTTCCATTGATTTTTTTTGTTGTAATATACAAGGATTTAAGCTAAATAACAAAAAAATTTGCAAAATTTGCAAACATACACAAGGTGAAAAAAAAGGGGGGGGGCAGGGTTGTTACAGACACCAACACTTTCAGAATAGAGACCATAAAAATGAATGAATGAGTTATTGCAGTAGAAAATATATGCACATAATCAAAATGTTTGGCATCATTGAAGTTTATTTGTTTCACATCATTTCAACAGACATTTTGTACAGATCACTCTCTGTGTTTGTGAGCTGTATGGAGGTATAGTAATTGTCATTTCTTGTCTATCTGCTTATGATGTACAATTTTATTCTCCTTCTACATTGATAAATAATAAATGTTGCAACAATTATTTCTGTTAATAGGGATCATTATTTTTTCCAGGTTGGATGACATTTTGTCCTGAATGGTTGGTAGGCAGCCCTAGTTTAGACACAAGCTCTGCTTTGTACCTGTGGTGCTATTTAGTATTTTTTAATGGCTTGTGGGTCATTATTCCTTTTCTCCTTTTATGGCATTCTTGGAAGGAAATGGAAGAGCTGCTCACTGGTAAAACATCAGCAACAACCCAAAAGAAAAAGACATGAAAGCCTATAATTTGGCAGTCACACCATAGGTCAGCATTATTTAGCATTGGCTAGCTACAAGCATAACTCATTACATGCAATGTTTCCTATCTCTGCTAGCTTCTACTGTGCACCTGAAATGCTTTCCAATGGCCGGTCAGTTCTTCTCAATAAGCAGCTAATCTGTTATTTTTAAGTCTTAAGTTTGTAATCATAGTCTACGGAAAAGATTTTGTGGAGTTTCTGTGTGCACAGGACCACACAAAACGTTTTTTAAAAAAAATGTTTGCTGCTGAAGAAATGAGAGTAAGTTGTAAGTGCAATAACTTTTGAAATGGAAATCAGCCGTACATGTACATCATTATCAGATTTTTTTAAGAAAAAATTCAACAATTTAGGCACCAAAATTGATTCTTAATCTTGGAGAGGAGGCATTTTCTTCAAGATGAACATTTTAATGTAGTTAGCAGACCATCAATTTCACATATGGCCTCACTTGTCTGTTCCAGAACTCTCCTGATCATAGTTTCCCTGTCACCTTGGCCTGAGCCTGGCTCAGTGCTGTCATTCTCAGTAGCATCCTGGTTAGAATCAACAGAAAACTGAACATTAGATACCCTGTACTGTACATTGTTAACAATAAGAGTCACTAGGGAACTAGATTTAATCAGTCCTTGGTCTGGAACCTTTCTGATTAAATGATTTTTTTTAATCATTGTCTTCACCTGAATATCCTGAAACTTTTCTCCCACCAAATGTTCCACATGATTTTGATTATGAATATCTGAAGTACAGTTCAATCACTAAGTTAAGGATTGTAAGTAAAAATAATTACAAACTCCAATAAATCATATCAAAACATACCTGTGAATGAAGTGTCCTCACTGGTTACTGAACATGAAATAAATTTACAAGATAATAGTGGTGATCATTTTTATTAAGATGGTGAATTATTGTCTTGTGTCATCAACTATTGCAAGGTTCAGTTATTTTCAAGAGAGATGACACCAAGGATACAATTGAACGTCTTAATTTTTCCCATTTCAATGTCAACAGCCCTGTGGAAAATAACAAAATGTTACACTTTTTCAAAGCTTGCTAGTGCCATAGAGACATGTAATATTTCCCAAATCTGCTTCTTGATCTAGGTGTGTAAATTGTGATGCTCAGTGCTTTTTATGGTCAAAGTTTCAGGAGTCTTATTCACCTTCTTCTCTCAGGGTCCCATATTGTGTCTTTGTAAAAGGTTCTCCTTTGTGAGGGTGTGGCAGCTACCCACTCTGCCCAATGCAGAGCCATTTCTGTATACCTGGACAAGAACAACATCAACTTAAGCAAATAAACAGGTCATGGCTAACACAAATTCAACTTGTTTTGGCATCCTCACAAAAAGTCTTAGCACAGGACAGCATTTTCTCAACCTTTTCACTCCCAGAAGTGATGAACATGTCACTTCTCCCTATAATATCCATTACATTAACCAGTAAACAAGTAATGAGTAAACTAGAGGTTTTTATTTTGAGAATACTCTAGAAGGGACAATTAACAATCTGACCAGGAAGAGGCAATTTACAATTTTTATTTTGATCTGTTTCAGTCACTCATTCATCAAATTCTTGTAACTAATTTACAAGGAACATTTGTGGCACTTTTTCTTTACTTTATTTATTAATGTAAGTGAGGGGTTAAGCCTGGTGGTGGGTTAATTCTGCTATAAATAGTATTGTGTAAATAAGGCAAATAAAAATATGATGATGATGATGATGATAATTTAGATCTACATGTAACATGGCCAAGTGTGCATATATTATACTTAGTTTGGGTTGGCTTTATTGCCCCACAGGGAATTTTGGGCATTTACAACCTCACCATGAACTCTCTAATCCCAAAGAGTGACTAGCATCTAATTTCTCCTTACAATATCACCCCCAAATCACACATTCGGGTTGTGAGAATAAAGGAAAAGGTCACCAACTAAAGAAGCTCTGGATTATCAAACAAATTCTCCTCCTCAGCAACTTAGGGAATGTATAGAAAACCAGTATGGAGTATATGTATATCGATGAAAGGGTGGAAAGGGTTAATGTCAGATTATTTCATTTTTATTTCTTTTGAGGTTCTCAATAAAATGAGAAGCAGGCAACTGTAACAAATGGAAAGATAAGGGTAAAGCAAAGAAAGCATAAAATATTGGGGCTCTAGGTTTCAAAGTATGTATTGATCAATCAAGTGCTATCTTCTACTGAGACCACTTTGTACTACATTGGATATCCTAACATCATTACGTTACCCATGGATAATATAACTTTGTCCAGAAATAAGCTACATTTTTTAATTGGTTTCCCTTTTACAACACTGTACCTTTTGTAAAAACCACACTGCTCCACATCATTCAGTTTAAACTGCTGAACATTCCCATTTGAAAGAACTAGCTGACACCAACGGTTCTGCAGATCATTTTGCTTGTGGTCACTTGAATTCCTTACATCCAGGATTGTCCTGTCACTAAACACAACACTGATGTGTCCATTTGAGTAAGCCTTGAATCTCCCTGTTCCCGGAACATCTGCAGCATCCACAAGATGTACTGGACAAGATGGCTTGGATAAAACAGTTGTGGATTTGGATGTCTGCCATGGATTAAAAGTCATGTGGTGTATCAATAGTTGTTACAATTAATTAACATTTATGAGTAGGTTGAATAGTGGATCAGAATTTCATGCATTGAATTTCGCATCAATTCCTCAAAAGCCCACTAATGGCTTATGTATGAAGTATATTGTACTCTTAGAGTTAAATTACACATCAGATAGCTCTTACTACTGAAACCTCAGAGGTTTCTCTCATTACCTTGTTAAATTTGTGAATGGTACATCCAGGTTAGCCTAATCTTACTGCTGTGGTTTCTCTCATTGCTGTGTTAAATTTGTGAATGGTACATCTGGGTTAGCTTTTTTTCACTCTCATAGTAAGTTACAAGATGAAAGGGGTTGTGCCAAATAATGAATAGAAACCCACATCAAGATTAAAGATGTTCAAATTTAAGTGATATGTAATACATACAAGTATATAAATGTTATTACTGAAGTATTTAATATCAAAATAAAATTAATTGATTAATTAATTAATTAATTCAAGATTCACTATAAAATATTAATCCTAATTAATGAAGTAAACCACACCTCTTTCCAGCAGCAGCGTTCTTCTCCTTGATACCCAGCATTCTTGAGGAATTCTATATATCTGACAAAACATAACATGGCTAGTTTTTGCACTGTACAAACAATACTGTAGTTCACTAGACAGAACAAATAAGACAGACAATACAGACAATAGACTGTGATGATGCAGAAAAATTACATTTAAGTCATGTTTGAGTGCTTTTAAAAAAGCTGCACCTTGTGGCCTGTTTCAAAAGACGACCAATGGAATATTCTGTCTGCAGTAATCTGTCTGGAAGAGGTTTATCAGCAGAGTAAACTCGTTCTTGAATCTCAACTTCCTGTAAGCCAGTTTGTTCATTATTATGAACAAACCAGTGATCAAAATATCTTCCATTGGGTCGTTGTGACCTCATAACAGAGCCATCCACTGGGTGAATCTCCATGGTGAACAAGCCAGGTGACTGACAAAAAACTCTGCAACCACGATTACAACCAATTTCATTAAAGAGTAAATTGTACATTTTAACAATGAAAGACTAGCAAGCTAACAAACGTTAGAATACGTAGTATTTATCATTGGAAGAGCTGGCAGCTGGAAAACTTTAGAACTGAAACACACCTATAAGTAACTCCATCTTTCCAAATAACTTTTGGCTTCCAGAGGAACTCCCAGTTCAGGCAGCTATCATCATGTGGCATCTGGTGAGAGTTTAAAGTAAAAACTTATTCATCATGGGGAATGTAGATGAATAATAATCAAGAAAAGGAATTTCTAACACCACTTTAATACTTGTGACATTGGCAAAGTGAAGAAGTGTCAGGAAAATAAGGGAATGCAGTTGAGAGGTAAAACATCAGTACTAACTGATACTGTGTCTGTGGATTACAGTTTGTTAACTAAATGAAGCAAAATGAATTAAGTTTAGATGACCAATGAGGTAACACCTGAATGTTCCATGTGTGAAGATGAGGAGCACTACATGTGACAGGCAGAGACACTGGCAAAGTTGTTTCTTTGTGCAGGGAGCAGGAAGGATCTTTGGCTTTGTTGTTGACTGCATCAAGAACAAGTTGGAGAGGATATTTCCATGCCTCAGGATAGGAAAATACTGAATGAATTTTTTTGTGCAAAGCAAAATAATGCTTCTGACATTGCATCTCTGAGACTTTGTTTCCCATCATCTATCAAGTAAGAGAAGAAAAATGAAGCATGGAAACAGTGACTCTAGAAAGAGTAACATCAATCAATGGCAAATTTCCTCTTGCGTAACACTGTCACATTGTATTGACAGCTCACTGGTACCCATTGAACCTGGGGAAGGGAGGCAGACAGGAAGATTGAAGGAACTAAACAGTATAGAGATGGTCTATTCTGCCTAGCAATGAAAAGTAAGCGGTGAACTTTAGTGCCGGCTCCCATTACAGCTATAGAGGACCTTGTGTGAACTGGCCACTATACCCTCCTATTATCCATAATCTCTACAAATGTACATACCGTAAATCTCTTTGCTGTCCGTTGTACATTTCATATACTGCTAGCTTTGAGAATTTGATTTTAATTCAAATATTGTTCCCTAGTTAGTTTTTAATTCAAATATTGTTCCCTAGTTAGTTTTTTCTATATTCTCGTCTCCTGTCTCTTTGAAATCTTTGAGGATGTACTTATATTGTAACGTGAAATAACTTGTTGATCACTGCTAGTAGTGAAAGGGTCCGTGAACTATCGAGGAATACTGTACACGTTACCTTGGTTGAATCGTATCTAACTTCTGCAAGAAACTTAACAATAAACGTTTGTCTGTGAGGCATAAGAGTTAAGCTTGCCAGACCATCGACAGACATGACACACGCTGAACCATCTGACATTGTTGTAATAAAACACGAGGAAGGTTCGTCAGGCCAACAACACTGCGTGACATCTTTATAACCGATCTAGAGAATTTCAATTTTGTTAAATGAATAACACGTATGAGCAATATATAGTCATGCAAACTACTACAGTACTAAGTAAACCTCCATCATCTCGAATACTCGAAGATGATGTACAAGAGCTATAAATGAAACGGAGAAATCACAAAAATTGCCAAAATATGGGACATGGCTAAATGAATTCACTGCGATCGTGGACCAACATACCTTAAGGTCCTGTGGATCTGTTAGTTCCTTACACAGGTATGGTCTAGCCGCAAACAAGTTACGAATCCTGATAGCCTCTTTTATTTTCGATCGAAACGAGCTCACGGCAAATCTCGTCAGTTGACGAAACTGAGCAGAGCTACTCAAGGCTGTTTGACGATGAACAAACGCCGATCCACAAGGAGACAGTTCAATAGATGAGCCATCACTATACTTGATAAATAAACGATCGTTTTCGTACAGAACAATCAAATCAATTGAGCACATTTCACCACATCTTTTCAAATCTGCCGCCATTTTTTTGTTTTCTCAAAAAGCTAAGGCTCGGTTCCTCAGTTGGTGACGTCGTTTAGAGAAAGTACCGGCTACGCAAGCGCAGATTGCATTCAAAATTTCTACGTGGCTTCGATTGGAGATAAATATAGTGTAATATTCGGTACAAAAATATCACTTCGCGGTTCTGTAGAGCACTGTTGATTCTATACCTCACGCAGACATGTCTTCCGACTTTGGGAATCCTCTTAGAAAATTCAAGTTGGTGTTTTTAGGCGAACAGAGCGGTGAGTTTTCTGTGACAGCTTGGTGATGTTCGAAAAGTCAGTTGATCACTGTAATAAATGGTGGGTTGGACCCGGTCATTCTGGGTTTTAGTAAATGGTTGTGTTGTCTACTTTTAGTGGGAAAGACGTCTCTTATAACAAGATTCATGTACGATAGCTTTGACAATACTTACCAGGTAGGTTTTAGAGATTACTAGTTTTCAGCTGTTTAACAACTTTTTCCAAGTAAGATTCGTTTTTCCCGTCGAGTTTTCATGTATTTTACCCGCGAAACATGCTTGAAGGTTTAGTATTTACCCATATACGAGCTGATGATAATACTGCTTTTTGCATACTTAGCAATCCTTCCCTGAGTGTCAATATTATTTTCGCTTTACTGTTCAGCGCAGTTGTGGTGGGAAATAACATAGCGGATCCCTTAAAGGAATCAAACGATTTAATCTTGTAAAATTTGTAAACTGAGGGTGACTTATTTTCCTGCCTGACTTAATGTCGGTAAAGCGAAATACCGTCAAGGGAGTTTTATTGATTACTAACCACTGAGAATAAAGCAGACAGAAAAAAGCTAAAGATCAGTTTTCAATACGGTTTATTTTACTAGAAAGTAGAACAGTGAAGGAGAGTTTGAATTCAGGAAATGCTACTGCATATCATTTATATGTACATTGGTTTTGAAACCATTACAGGAAATCCTTTACTGTCGATCTTGCCTTAGTGTAAAGAAATTATATTCCTGACTTAGGGAAATTCAGATAAACATCAAAGCAATAAAGAAAACGTTTACCTATGGAAATTTGGATGAATGTCAATGTATTCTTGAAAAGAAAACCTGAAACCTTGCACTTTATATGGTGATGATATGATTACTCCATATCAATTAAGCTTTTACACCCTAACATCAGTAATCATATTCTCCATACTGTTCTCCATAAATTTCTTAAGGTGCTGAAAAGGAGAATTTGTTTAACAATTCACAGTTGGTGATCATTCCCTCAATTCTTGTGATGTTAATATGTTATTCAGGGGAGAAATTGTAAGGAGAAATTAGATGCTAGTCACTCTTAGGGTTTAAAGGGTTAATTTCCCTTTTCTACAGGCAACAATTGGGATAGACTTTCTGTCAAAAACCATGTATCTTGAAGACAGAACGGTAAGTATTTAAAATTATTTGTATGTTGTTTAGATGCGAGTTAAATACTTAACTGCTAGACTTGGTATACTCTGCACTGTGTTTCAAATTAAAATGATTGTGGACTGAATGTGCATGAAAGGCTAACAAAACAGCATAGTATGAGAATCTGAGTGCTGGAAGTAACCATGGAAACTGTTACAATAACATGTATATAAGATAAAGTTAGAATACTTGCTATTTACTTGACCGATGAGATTATTGATAAGCTGGTATGCACTGTAAACTAAATCTTTGTTATGAGTGGCACTGGTTAGAAACAAAAGCAAAATTTCTGTTTAAATTACGTAGCATCCATTTTTGATGCACTCTTTAGTATCAGGTAAATCCTTACCTCAATTTCTGCTGTTATCTCAAATACAGGTGTAGAAATGAAGGAATTAAGGTTATTTTACTGAATCCTGGTTGGCTATTGATCCTAGAGGCCCTGTTTTTCATACATTTTTCATCAGTTTTTCTGAAAAGTTAATTTTCAAGAATAACAAGGCTTTTGTAGCTTTGTTTGAGAAGTATATCCAGACTGTATTTGATTTACATGTACAGGTTAATCATATAAATGCACTCAGACAGATGTTTGACATTGTCAATAAGTGGAATAAGAAGATAATTGTTGATTTTTACCGCAGGTGAGACTACAACTTTGGGACACAGCAGGCCAGGAGAGATTTAGAAGCTTAATACCCAGCTATATCAGAGACTCAAGTGTGGCTGTAGTAGTTTATGACATAACAAGTAATGCAACATTTTGTTTTAACTGTACACATTCAACAATAACAACAGTACTGCAATTTTACATTTGAGCTACTTTGCAAGTCTCCTGTATCATTAACACATTTGATTACTTTGTTTTTAGACTATAACTCTTTCCAACAAACAGCAAAATGGATTGATGATGTTAGAACAGAGAGAGGGAGTGATGTCATTATTATGTTGGTTGGAAACAAGACAGATCTCTCAGACAAAAGGTAACACCCAGGTGTCTCTTAGTTAACTGCATAAAAATATGAACATACAAATAAATGTGATTTTACTGATACATTTATTTTGACATCAACAAATGAATATTATAAATAAAGAGACCTTATTTTAAGCCTCACTCTTATGTTTATTTTGACTTTGTAACTTTTCCTTGATCATGATCACCTCCCCTGTAGTTGTTTTATGGATGTCACTGTTTTCCTAAGCCTGCTTTCACAAGCAGAGCATTCCTTTGTTTAGCTACAATTGCACTTTAAAATGTCAAGAGAGGAAAGCTACCCCCATATACATACAGTTTTGGTAAAGAGGATTAAAACCACTTTCTTCCAAGTACATTCAGCACTGTGAGGCAATGATCATCAACAACCATTTTCAGGTTTTGTAGGTGATAAAATTATGTCAACTTCACTTGTAACTTCAGTGATTCTCTGTGTTTGTTTATTGTTTGCTTTTTTATACATATACAGACAAGTTACAACAGAAGATGGAGAAAGAAAAGCAAAGGAATTAAATGTGATGTTCATAGAAACAAGTGCAAAGGCTGGGTATAATGTGAAACAGGTATGTTTCAAATGCTTCATTTGAAGAGGTAATTATAACAACAATTATCCTATAACCTAAACAACATGGAAATACTAAAAATGGAGCTGTGAGAGTCCAGTTCTTGATTCTGAAATCAGTCTGAAAATAGTTATTTCTGTCTCCGAAAAAAACTCTTTAAGTTAGCCTTTCCCTCTCTTTCTTTTCTCATGAAAAGAATTTATGATGTTTTCAGATACAAAGCATGTGGTCATAACAGGTGTATTGTTTTTCCAACAGCTATTCAGGAGAGTTGCTGCAGCATTACCAGGCATGGAAAGTACATCAGATAAACAGAACAAAGATGACCTTATAGAAGTTAGACTAAAGGACACACCACCAGAACCCCAACCGCAGAGTGGAGGCTGTGTCTGCTGATTATGTACCAAAAGCCAAGACTTTAGAGTGTCTTCTGTTGCAACTATTATTCCTCCTTCTAAAGTTTAAGACAAACTAGACAGACTTTGCAGCTCCAATAATTTATTGTTGGTTTCTAATAATGGGCTAATATTGCATGCTTTGCTGCAAAATTGTAGTTGCAAGGCTTCACTATGTTTATTTTTGTTTTAATTAAAAGAAGCCTTGGTTTGAATTCTGCTAGTCAACAAGTACTCCTTGCAGGAAATTGCATAGAATGGAAAATGAAGCAAAGTTTGTTTTTAATCATGGAAAGCCGTGAATTCAAATAGCAGAGGCAATGGCATTCTTATTTAGGAAAAACAATAATCATTTTTTATCACAAGAACATAAAAAAAGTTAATACACATGTATCAGTACAGATACATAAACACAAAACAAAGCTTTCACTTAGTTCAATTACCACTTATCTCAGTGAGAAATTTATAAAAGTTTTACAACTCTGAAAAAGCAAGTGATAAGTTTAATCCAAAGGGAGTTTCAATTTGCAGAACTGTTTTTTCTCAACCAAGCTTGTTTATTTAATGCTTAATTGACAAGCCTGATAACTCATTTAAAACTGTTTTATGCACCTGGCATAATCAGTAATCAGTATTCAATGCTATTTGACTGTGAATCAGAGGTTTCAATTCAGTTTTTCTCAAGTTACCAACAGGGGTGGAATAGGTGACTGTTGCCACTAAACAAGACCATAGAAATCTAAAAAAATAAAATCTGAAGAGATGAAGTTAGGAGCCTTAAACTCTTTTACTCCAAAGATCTTATTAGTTATTCTCCTTACTGTCTGCCATACAATTTTTATGATGAAAGTTTTGGGAATTTGGTATTTGATCAACAAAGTATTCCATAGCTGATATCTGTTTTTAATCTCATCACTTGACTCCTTGATATTGTTTCAATCTTATAGGGAGAAATTCCATCTGGGTCACTCTTGGCAGTCAAAGGGTTAAGGTCATGTAAGCAGTAGTATAACTGTTTAAAACTGTCTTCATTGAAACCTTTCAGATAACAGTAACTTGTTACCTTAAGTCAGTATTTACGGTTATAAAGAAAAAGAAAATATAATTACATCAAGGTCCAAACTGGCATTACTGCATGTGATTGTATTATTTGAACTTTGGGGCATAGTATTTCTTCTAGTTTGATCAAAAGATTACTGATGTCAACCCTACAAAAAAAATTTTGTACCCTGATAATTGATTTGAATAGTGTGACATAAGTAATTATATTCTCAATATGTTTAGAAATGAGAAAAGACTCAAGGAAACCTTTGCTTGATTTGTTTGCCTAGTAGAATCGAGGAAAGGTGATGCATTTATGCAGATGGATAGTTTTTAGATGAAAGTCGCACTGCATGTCTGGCCTTTGCAAACTTCTGTTTGTTCATTTTCATATCATTTCAAAAGGTACATACAAGTAATATGCAAAATAACAAAGAAAAATCTCAAAGTAAGATATCAACCAGTTCATCTGTTGCCACCAATATTCCTAGATTATGTTCAGTGACTGACATGTTTTTATGTTTTGAAATACTTCACCTGTGGTTCTTTTGTTGTTAATCTTTAGCCAGATAATTTTCATAATTATTATTGTTCAAACTTGTTTTATAGAATAAATTCTGTATAATTTTGTTCAAAAGAAATCACTCGTTTGTGATCTTCGCGGATATATGGCGCATTTTTAGTTTTATTTGTATTTGTTTGTTTTTTTTTTCTCTCTCTGTTTCCTCCTATGCGTCATCAGGGCTTCTATAGAGAGGTACGCGGCATGCCTTGTTCACTTTTTTTCTTTGTAAGCTTCTAGGTTGATCAGTTAAGATGTACCTACACTCTAACAGGCATTTCGCGTGGGAGGGGAAAAAGTGCCATTCCGGAACACTTCCCCACTCCCTTTTCAATAGTCCTAAGAGTCAGAATTCTTGACCACGTCAGAAATGATACGTGATCAAAGATGCCCAATTTTTGCCCAAAAAGTCAGACAATAAAAACCTGACTGGGATTTCACGTTAGCTAACATGGAGGTGTCAATCAAACAGGTAGAGAGGTTATTAATTACATTATTTGGCGGGTAATTCAAGAAAAACTAAAACAGGTGGCGACCAGTCGTGAAAACGAATGCGTTGTAACTAGCTTCAATGGATCTTTTTGTTTAGTCGCTGCTCTCAGATAGACGTGGCAGATAAAAGTACTGCTTCTTAACAAATGCACCAACGATCTATGATCTAAGAATCTTTTGGTCCTCAAGGGAGAATACCAAGTTTATTCATAACTGGAGGATAATTTGAATGGCGATAATTGTGAAATGGCATCAAGCGCCTCCATCTTCGATCTTTTCAAGGAAGCTTTTTGTGGCAACTGTCGTTCTTATCATCTTCATCGTTTACGTGTCCAACTTGGGAAAGATGATGAGCGTGACAGATGACGATGACAAAGAGTACATACAGTACATAACAGGAATGGGAAAAACAGAAAAATTCAGGTTTGTTGGTTTGAAGTGATGCAACAATAACCGGCGTGGCTGGGGTACAAAGGAAGGGGGGAGGGGAAAGGGCGGTTTTGGTGCAGATAATGAGGTAGGATTCTCGCAGCTCGCTGCACGAGCGTTTCTTTGGGGACAGCAGAGAAGCGAACGAGAGTTTCGATAGCTTTAATCTCAAGGATGTATATATGGAAACTCAAACAAGTGTCGAATTTTTAATCCTAAAACAACTAATTGATAGAAAATGTTTTTGCTGGGGTTTTTAACTTAGAAATGCCGCACAAACGCAAAATGAACTCGAGGAGTAATACCTCGACAATTCAGAACAAGTCAATTAAAAAATAAAAAAGTGTCATTGGTTTCAATTGATTGTTTATTAAGCTTACTTAATACAGCAAAAAAAGAAACCCTTACGTCTGAAAGGAAAGAGAGACCAATGATAGTTTATCTTTTATATTCTTTCCTTAATTGAGGATACTAATTTCTTGTTGTTTTTTCTTTCAATCGACAGTACCACGCCAAACACCTGTCAACCAAAAGAACACGTGCTTTTCTTGAAAACCCACAAGACAGGCAGCAGTACAATCACAAACATACTCAACAGATATGGAGACTTTCACAACTTGACTTTCGCTCTTCCCCAAGATGGTTTCTTTAATTTCTTCTGGCCTCTGTCGTTCGAAAGTACTTTTATAGCGGATCTTAAAGGTAAAAGACCGAATATTTTCTCCAATCACGCGAGATGGAACAGAAAATCGATGACTGAGCTGATGAGACCGAATGCAGTTTTTATTACCATCCTTCGAAATCCTGTCTCGCAGTTTGAATCAACGTTTTCTTACATGGAATTTGCTCAGTTGCTTAGAATCAAAGATTCAAAAAATTCCTTAGCGACTTTTTTTGTCGATCCTATCAATACCTTGGCAAAACTCTCAGATCTTTCAGAATCTGGATCTGTCTTTCCATATCTAAACTTGCTGAAAAATGGACAATTTTTTGACTTGGGATTGGAAAAAGAGCAATATTTTACCGATAAAAAGATAAAAGAGGCGTTAAATGAAATCGATGGAAGTTTTCACCTCGTCCTCCTGATGGAGTATTTTGACGAGTCACTCATTTTACTCGCCCGAGAGCTCTGTTGGGATATTCGAGATGTTGTGTATTTTAGGCTCAACCAACGGAAATCCTCCGACGCTAATACAAACCTTTCCGAAGAACTTGTGCAGAAGATTCGGCAGTGGAACAGAGCTGATGTATTACTTTATAATTATTTTAACAGAACGTTTTGGAACAAAATTGAAAAGCTCGGGAATGTGTTTTGGATTGACGTTCATCGCTTGAGAAATTACAACAAGATGTTGGAGGAAGAGTGTTTACTCCCTGGGGAACATTTTGGAAAGGCGTACGCCAAGCAGTCGAAGTTTATCAAGGGGTACGCTTTGAAGGAGAATATCACTCCTCAATTGAGGCTTCTTTGTGGAAAAATGATAACCAATGAGATTGACTATATGGAATATTTAAGAAAAAAAGCCTTAAATTAGAACTTACTGCAGCTGATCACGATGCGTTCCCTATTTTTCTTATATCTGGGTAGCATTGAAAAAGAGTCCGGTAAAAAAAAGTACTGACATTTTATTATTTGAACATACGACTAAATTGGGTCGTTATTTCGTACCCAAAGTCGTTTCTTGCCCAGTCGTATCTAATCCAGCTGGTTACGATTCGTATGCAGGTACGGTGGGGGAGTATAACAAGGTGATTTGGTTTTATCAACTGAGTTAATAATCAGCCACCGTAAATAGCTTTAAGCTGATGTTTCGAGCGATTCATATCCAGTCAGTTGAATCGCTTGGTATACATTAAGTATTTTACAGCAAGATTAGGTTAGACTAAATGAATAAACGAAAATAAATGAATTTATAATTTCATTTTACCATACTAGGGCAATGGATCACGTAAAATAAGTCACGGTATTACACTGTAGAGCAGGGCAAAAATACGTATAGAAACGGTCCGTGCGATCTAGATGTGACAGATTTTTAGACATGACTTTTTCAGCAAAAAGCTTCAAGCACACAACAATATTTTGGTTATCAAGAATTATTTTTGGTTTCTTTTGCGGTTTTTTTTTTCTTCTCCCACATACTCCTTATGCGATCGGTATGATGATGATAGAGTGGAAATTGAAATTATTTGTTTTAAGTCACAAAAATGCAATTTCATTTAATCAAAGAGGGGCGTTGAAGCTATATAACTCAGTTTTCCGCTTGAAAATTACGTTCCTCGGTCTTCAAATTACTCGCTACCTGTTTCTTTTGGGATTCTGCGCAGTAGAGGTTTTCATTTCAAGTTTAGGATCCTCTTTTTACGATCATGGAGGATATAATTGAGGAAAAAATGCATGGTTGTGCACTTTTTTGTAGAGGAGGCATTGTGAACATTGCATAAGCTATCTCTTACCCCTTTGGCTCGTGGCTCAGAATTCCTGACAACAGAACTTTCCTTCTAGTTAATTAAGAAAAATGATCCATTAGTTCAGAGCCCTCGCAAGTATTTTTGAATCTTTGATGGAGTAGTTACTGTTTGCGCAAACACGCTCAGTCGAGCAGCCTATGTTTACGTTGTGACCTGTTCCTACCCAGACTTCCCACGGCTACGCAAATAATCTGTGGTGAGGTCATGTGCTATTACTATTTATAGGGTGTGTAAATCACTTCTAAACATGTCGCTGCAACAAGGATATCAAACGCAACCTGTGCAGCAACAACCAGGTATTTTAAAGCTTTTCTTAGATCTCCAAACAAAACGATCGTGATTGCGACTGTAGGTAATGTTTCATGTCTTGTAACTGAGAGAAACTTATTTAAAATATTCACTGACTTTCGCTCTCGGAGAAGAGTAGGTACTTGATGTTTTGCTTCCTAATGGTCTTAAAGTTTTTAAGTAGTGTTATTAACAAAACAGAACATGACAACAAACACGAGCAAACTAACGAGCGTTAGCTGAAACACAACTTTCTTTATGTGAAGCAAATGTGCGTGGTTTTATCGGTAATCGTGTGATTTGCATGCGATAAAGTTGGTTTTGCCCCGTTTATTGTTTAACGGCTGCTTTTGCTGTCCATGAAATCAAAATGAAGTTGACATACAAGTTGTGCCCTACTCATTTAGGTTCTTCTATCGATTGGTTGTAAAACTGCTGACGTTTTTGAGTGTTAATGCATTATGATATTCACAAATGCCATTTCACAAGGTTTTTAACGACTTCACATCCGATTGTTTATAGTGTAGAACGGTTCTTTGCAGGTTGTACGTGCACAGGCTCAACATTTTCCAACAAATTTCCTTAGAACTAAGACGACAAAAACTGTACGCAAGACAGCAATCAACTCTAGAAAATTGTTAGTTTACTTCACAACTGATGTTGAGATGGTTATTTAGGCGGGACGACACGCTTTTTCAACTTTGAAAGGGGATCTATTTTAAGACCTGCAATTTGATGGCAGTCTGGGATTGCATGATATTCCCGTGTTAACCCCTCCACGATTAAGTGATACACTTTGCAAAACAAGCTTGAGACTGTGTGATATTTCTGAGAAAGTATAGATAATTATGTAGTTGGAATGATATTCATTTGAGTAATTATTAAAAAAACAATTACACCCCTCAGGGTTATTGAACATTTTTGAATAATTGAAAGTTATTTCTTTGGAGGGTAAGCATGACTAACAACCCAAACTGCTTCATCCATAAGTCTTGCTTGTGGGAATAGCATATGTTTAAGATGAAGATGAAGTATATAAGATATGTGCAGAAAAACAGGCATAGAACTGGGAAATTAAGCAGCTTTCCATTTTTTATATAATTAGTTTCAGTAGCTCAGTACAGCAGTGACATTGTTTTGGAAATTAAGAGACATTGTTGTTGGTATGACTGTGAATATATAAAAATCCTATATGTGAACTGCAGTTTAAGAAATGAATATGAAAGTGATTTTTGCAGTAATGAACACTACTCAAGCAGTTGTGAAAACATAGCTTGAAAAAAATTGTTTTCTAACATAGAGTAAGAAGAAGAGTGACCTTGTATCTGTTTTGTAACATGGCTACCTAAAGAGCTCTGAAATGATGTTTATGGTACCTTTTATACCAGCAAAACTACAGTGGAGTCTTTCTGACTCAGACTCACTGAATTCAGTCTTTATGTAACTCAAACTTCCTATTCTTTCAAACTGTTGGTTGTTGGACAGGTAATTCTGTGTCAATAACTGAGTTGAAAATGTAAATTGGCCACCATAAAGAGTTTAAAGGCTGACATTTCAAGCATTAGCCCTTCATCTATGGCTTTGATGAAGGATTAATGTTTGAAATGCCAGCCTGTTAAATCTTAACGGTGACAATCTTTGCAGGAGTTCCTGGACAGGCAAATTGGATGCCTGTTCCTCAGGCACCAATAGGCTGCCCCCCAGGATTGGAATACCTGACTGCAGTTGATCAATTGCTCATTCAACAACAGGTTGAGCTTCTAGAAGGTAATTTGAAGAGAGTGAGAAATGTTCATTTCAGTTGCAACTTATTTTTCAATGTGCCATCATGAATTGAAATCAGCAGGCTCCATAAAAAAGCTGAAACAAAGAGGGCAACTTTGAATATTTTATCAGTAAGATTGTTTATTAAGGGTAAATATGAATGTTGTCCTTTCAACAAGCTTTTCCTCAAAATATTTGACAAACTCCTCTTACTGTTTGGTTAGCTGGAAAGGACATAATATTGTGATCCTTGGATAAAGATTGCTGAGATACAGAATTTGGAGTATTAGATGATCAAGCAAGGAGTGATGGGATGAGTTTGCAGAAATGTTATTACTCACATCTGTAATGGCATTGTCTGTTTTAGAAGGGATCTCCTGATCAGACTCAATCTTTTACATGTGATATGATTCTTGGTTCAGTCAAAATATTTCTTAAGTATCATAAGGGATTAAGGTGGCTTTAATCATATTTTATTCATCAAATGATTGTAAAAATTAACTTTAAAATGTGGACTGATCTTGAACATTAGTTGCAAACATTTTTCTGTTTGGATCAAGTTGATAGCTTTGTGCAAGTGACTTCCAGCTTAGCTCTGGTAGGATGGTTTCTATACCTTGATGGCCAAACCAGTCTTAATTTAAGCGTTATACCATAATACATGTTTTTCTTTTTCCTTATTTTCTCTTAGCTTTCACTGGATTTGAATCCAACAACAAATACAAGATATGTAATTCCATGGGTCAACAAGTATATTTTGCTGCTGAAGGTAATTTTGCTAGTGTTGTTTCTTTCAATTTACTATAATTTTAAATAAAATAAACTTTATACATTTTTAACACTAGCGGTATTTTTTCAGACACTGACTGCTGCACTCGACAGTGCTGTGGTCCTGGGCGTCCATTTGAAATGAAAGTTTTTGACAATATGCAAAGAGAAGTGATACACCTCTCCCGACCCCTCAGGTGCCAGTGCTGCTGTTGTCCTTGTTGTCTTCAGGAGATTGAAATACAGTCCCCACCAGGGACAGTTATTGGTTATGTGGAACAGAAGTAAGTGAATATGGTAAAACATCTTCATTTTCATTACTGAGCATAAAAGTTACAATCTTTCCTATTCTTCTTACCAACCAAAGGCTTTCGAAAATACAGATCCAAGCTGTTTCTGGAATGTGTGTCACCTATGAGCTCATCCAAGGCAAGAGCTTAGACCCTTTGATCAGAGTCCAGTGTGCAAATAGTGAAATGAATATTACAAATAAATATTAAGTGGGAAAAAAAATGCTCAAATGGTAAGAGGCAGACATTCAAATGGGCAGCATGGTGGAGGGTGTGAACAGGAACCACCAGATTATAAGCCCAGCCCCCTTATCCCCTTGCTACACCCAAACACTCAGCCATGCTGCAACTTAGCTTCACCCAAACTACTCAGCCATTCTTTTTCTGCCACTCTCAAACTACTTTGCCATTTTTCAGTTCAGTCATACCCAAACAACAACACCTGATGCAGTTCAGCCATACCCAAACAACATGGCCTGATGCTGTTCAGCCATACCCAAACAACATGGCCTGATGCAGTTTAGCCACATCCAAATGACCAGGCCATGTAGTAGTCTGCCTTACTCTGACCACTTTACCCCTTACCCTTTACTTACAATTCATGATTTGATTTTGTGACCATAGGTGGACATGGTGGAAAGCCAAATTGGAAATTCAAGATGCACAGCGGCAGCCTATCATGGTAGTCAATGGGCCGTGCTGCCCTTGCAGTTGTGGATCGGATGTTGAATTCCCTGTGAGTCGAGTACTGCTTATTCTGCAGCCTAGTGTGATTAGATAACGAGAAAGGGAGGGGTGAGAGAGTGACTATGTCCATGCTTCATGTTTGTAATGGTTTCTGAATTGTGTTTAGTTATGTGTTCTTTTGAAGAGATATCTTGTTCCCACAGCTCAATTCTTTGGATGGAAGCAGTGAAATTGGAATGATCAGCAAGCAGTGGACTGGACTCGCAAGAGAGATGTTTACTGATGCTGAGAACTTTGGAGTGCGATGTAAGGACAGAGCAGAGATATTTTCCTTTGAAAAGTCCATGCAATGAAGTACAAAGAGATTCAAAATATTTCCGTTATACACCCAGGGCTTCCTCGTCAGATCACGGTGAAATGGCTCGTTTCTGAGATTACACTTCACCGAATCTCCCTTAGGCAAAAATTTTGCAAGGTTCATATTAGAATGCGGGTAAACTTAGTTTCTTAGATCTTGGTTTTGCTTAGGTAGCCTACGTCGCCCCATCTCACTGTCGCCCCGTCACGTCGCCCCCAAGCTGGTAACTTCGTCGCCTCGTATTACACGGTTTGAAACAAAAAATATTGGAAATATTTATGGGTTATCTAAAAAACAAAATGAAGCGTGAACAAAATGAAATTCAGGAAAAATTATAGCCAAGTGTTAAATGAAGAGGCTGGACCTTTTCTTTCCTATTTGCTGTGCCTCAGGTTTTTAATTCAGTTTTTTATTTCACTCTTTGTTTTTTGTCAGTCCCTTTGGATCTGGACATCAAGTACAAAGCCATACTAATGGGAGCTACCTTTCTCATTGTAAGTACAGACAGAGCGCACGTTACATTTCTTACAACTGCAAAAGTTCTGTGCCACGTCAGCGATTTTGTTTAGGGAGATTCTTGTGAGTTTAAGAAACATTTAAAAATATAACGTCCAGTGAAAGACTGAAATTTTTCTTACCTACTCAAATTTTTGAAGCTAGTCGATGACCTGAGCTACGTTTTGGCGTCTTCTTTGATCTGCTACTAAACAGACGCACGGAAAAAGGGAATATTTTTGTGTTATATTGTTGTTATAAAGAAGCAGAATTTTGTTAATGGTGATGTTATTTATGCTTTTTTCCTCCATTAGATCATTTGTAAGATCAAATAAAAATGCGTGTGTCATTCAGTATATTAGTTAACCTTTAAACTCCCATGAGTGATCAAGACAGAATTTCTCCTTACAATATCGCTACAACATCGACCAGATAAGTGATGAGAATAAAGAAAAATATCAATTTGGGGATGATTAGTTGATCCAATACTAAATTCTCTGAACTAACATTTTAAGAATTGTATGGTTGACAGTGAGGAGAATGACAAATTTGATCTGGGAGTTAAAGGGTTAATTACCTCTATGTGATGATAATATCAGCAACACTCGGCGCCGCCTTATGTACCTTTTTTTTGTTCTCACTACGTTTTGTCGTCATCCGGGATCTATCACTGGAAAAACACGTCCTGCAACATTGCATCAATTTGATTCTAATGACTTGATTTATTTCTTAACTTTTAGGACTTCATGTTCTTTGAACACAGCAACAACTAAACGATCGCTGTGAGTTCACGTGCAGCCAGTTTAAAAAGAAGGAAGATTATTTCAGGGCACCTCTTATATGATCAACGCTACAGTCTTTAACATGTAATAAATGCACGTATATTCTAAGACATGTTATCTGCTTGACACCTTTGTAAGCTTTAAACTCCGGCAATATCAATTAGTAACCCTCCCTTCTCTAGTCACGAACAGTACCTTGTTTATTAGTGGAGAGAAATTTGTGTTCAATCAAGGAACGCCTTGCAACTGATGAAGTGTCTCTTCTCCTTACCTTTTCGCGGAACAAGGTATTGAAATTGGACGGGAAAGTTACATGTTAGTGATTTCTTAAAGTAGAAGGGTAAAATGCTGGTAGGATTTTTTTATGCAAGTTAAATAATGGAATAAAATGTTAACGTTGACACTTAAAATGTACAGGGTATATTGTGAGGAAATAGCACAAGGATTTTGATCAGAAGATTCATCTCCTCGGACAGACTGAAAAGAAGATGATAGGGAACCTGTATTTCTTGATGTACTGCGTACACCTGTGTTTTCTCGCTATAGCAGTAAGTTCATACACGTTCGTGGGAGAATACCGCGCGAGTAAATTACTTTATACATAATTATTGCACCATGTATCAATAAAAATGTTGCAGAAAAACCTCAAAGTTATCCAGCAGTTGGAATATACAGTTATTAAGGTGCGCTACCACATAGCTTCTACATGACTAAGACTGTTCATCTGACTCGTCCTGAGGCTTTTACCTTTTTGATAGAGGGCGTAGGAGATTGTTTGGTCACTTTCAAACTTGAGGATCATTTTGCATGGAGATACGAAACACTGATCGACGGAAACTAGCGTTGTTTCCTCTTTTCTGGCGTTAAGCCGCGTCTTTTTCAAAAATTCTGTAATTTTTAGGACATGGTAGTCTACTAACGCAGAAAAACTACCTCATAAATCACACGACCTGTTCTTCCTGCTGCTAGAATACTTAGCGTGTTCCGTCTGAGTTTCAGGCCCGTGCTCGGTGAAACGAGCGGAAAATACTGCCGCTTTTTTTTCCCTTCTCACGAAGCGATGCTCAAGTTTGTTTCCACCTAACGAGAGCTCAGATGGCTGGAAAATTCTGATGTCCTTTGCAGCTGTACTCTACGATGTCACGCAATGCCTTAGTAGTGTTACGGAATAATCTGTAATAATTTTAATCCTACTGTTCCAAATAAAAAAGTTTAAGGTTCTGCGAGACCCTGGGGACAAGCTTCTATATCCGGTAATTTTCTGGGAACTGATTGTTCTAACCGGCTATCGGCTTTGGGCTTTATCATTTGTTTGTATCACGTGATCGCCATAGTTCTAGGAATTCCCTGCTAAAACAGTGATGCGTGTGATGTTCGGTATTCACTTCAGAAGCGAGGTATAAAGCTAGACAACAGAAATGGCCAGCAATAATTTAGAGAACGAAATCCGTACTCTCAGAGAAAAACTGAAGAACTATAAAGTTGGAAGTATCGAGGGCTTGCATTCTTTCTCAGACGCTCTCGAAGGAGAAATGGAAGGATTGCAGATACGGCTGGCCGTGTTTGGCATGACTGGTGCTGGGAAATCGTCGCTTGTTAACACGATTTGGAAGACTTTATACGGCCGAGAAAATGCCCCTGCAATAGAACAATCATCTGGAGCCGAAGGAACACAATTATTGGAGGATTTTCATTCGCAATCGGGGACAGAAGATGACCGTGGCGGCTTTGTATTCCATGACACAAGAGGTTTTAACTTCGATTTTAACAGAGCTGAAGAAAGTAGGTATTTAGTTTAACTGTTCTTTTTACCTGTAACATTTGATCAGTTAACAAACTGAAAGATATCTTCAAGCCTAGCGACATTTATTTTCTAATACTAAGAGAATTCGTCAAGCCGACAACAATGGTCGGCTTGACGAGGGGCTAGCCCTGAAAGTCGTCGGCCTTGAACCCTTTTACGATGGCCAATTTACATTATCAACTCAGTTGACAAGACAAAACTATCTCGTTAAAAAAACAGCGATCCGAAAGTAACGGCCCTGTTGGCTTAAATTTTTTTCAGGGTAGTTGAATTTCGTTTTACTTATGGGAAGCAAAATATATTCATTCAAAGTCATTATTCAATTTCAGCTTTCGGTTTCTACGCCAAAGGCGGAAGTAGTGTGTAACGCAAGATTTGACAGGGCTTGCGTGACATGGTCGATAATTAATGTTACAATAGGCATGCGCTTTAAAGTACCTTCAATTGCCAATTTTGTATTTAATCCTTTAAGAAATTACAAACAGAGAAGTATTGTATATGAATAAAACAGCTACTCCAGGAATTTCTCAGAGTGAGAAAAATAGCAAAGAGCTGACAAATTCCTTTGACTCCAATCAGTAAAAAAAAGCTCCGAACTCTTAATCTTTTCAACACCCCCTTGGCCGTCGTTGTAATGCTCTCTCCAGTATATTTTTCACTGATTGTAGTTAGAGAATCTGGTGCTAATATTGGTGGAGATAATAAAATGGTACATAATGAGAAAAACCGTACGATATATTCCGTTGTATGATTTGCGTAGCTTCCAGTTATGTTTAAAAAAAAAAATTAATGAAAACATTTCCTTTGCCTTTAGATGAACTCTTCAGAATATTATACGGCATCGTTTCTGTGGGACAGCTTATAGAGCGAGGAGACTGGGCTGAAAAAATGGCCGAAGACGCTGGTCAAGCTGCTCACAGACTCGAAAAGCCTCCGGTTGCAGACCAAGTTCATGTGGCATTGTGGGTAATCAAGGCTAACGACATTCGTTTCGTGAATGGCCAGTATCTAGACAAGTTCAATTTTGTGAGGCAAAAATTAAACGCGGAAGGTGAGAGTTGGTAACTAAACATCTTTGCTTTGTATTTGTGCCAAAGTTTTGATTATAATCACTGTAAACCCCAAAGGAACTCAACCGGGAACTCAAAGGGGCCAAAGATCGCCTTCTCACGTTACCCATAATGGACACATACAATTCATTTTTTTAAATTGAAATTTTGATCTCATTCCCAACTAGTATTATTATTATTTCAAAAATTCGAGTTTTGTTATTCCGAAATAAACATTTCCAGGGAAATAGTCCGAGTAACTAATTTCTCTAGTGAACAACTGGAATCCTTGCCGAAAAAAATCCGAGTTGTTTGATTTACACCCTTACCCCACCCACGGTTTCATGGCATTTTATCCTTGGCCAAAGAAATTCTGAGACATTCTAGAGACTCCATTTCCAAGCATTACCCCTGTTCGTCTTTGAGTTCTCTTTTTTTAATGTATTTTTGAAGGTGTTACCATAATTACGGTTTTAACCCACGATGACAAATTGGACTCTGAAGAACGCAATGAAGCTAAAAAGAACGCCATGGAAGTGACCGGAAGTAAGAAGGCTCAAACATTTGTCTTTGCTAATTGGTTGGGAGAACAGGAAGAATACGACGTCAGGTACCAACGGGAGGTGTTGAAAATGTTGCACACTGCTCTTGGGTGCGGTGAGCGCTCTGTGCGGTCTCGGCAGATTCAACGGAAACTTAGTAAACAGTGAAAGACACTGACTGATAGCGAAACACTTCGCGTTTTAGGGTAGAGCTTCATTTTTATTTGTGAATATAGCGATCTTTTTTATGACATTGAAAGCCTTTTATTATTTCTTCTGGTCTGGATAATTGCTTTGAAGTGACCTCCCCCTAATCGGAAGTAGTGCAGTGCGCCGTAGCAGGACAGCGAACTTGCTTTTCTGTGAAAGAAGTCTTTCGTTTGAAGAACGTACAAGGCTTTTCTGTGACTTCAATTTAAATTCAGTTACAAAATTGTAGCCAACTTTTTATTTGATGAAAGCTAATTCTCAATATGTATTCAGCTCTCGGCTTTTTAGGAGACAAGAATTAGTGATCTATTCAAACTGGTCTCACTTGCTTTCACACAATGAGAAAGGGGAGGCCTGGGGTGGGAACTCTCAACAGCACTGTAGAGAGAAAAGGTTGGGATGGGAGGAAGGGTAAGGGTAAAAATTGTCGAGAGAGACTGGGAGAGAGTAAATGAAAGCAGATGATTGGACAAATATGAAGCCACTGTCAAAACGCTATTTCACGGACGTACGAGGCAAATCGGATTCTCCTTGAAGACAATCGAGTGAGACCGCTGAGAATATTACAGTAGACAACGTATAAGCGAGCGCTATTTCAGTAACACATAGTTACCTTAGTCATAACTAGGATAAACGTCAATGAAATGGTTTATAAAAGTCAGCTGAAACAACTTAAAAAGAGATTTTCATTTATTAAATATTATTATCATTAAATGCTCGTCCTTGGAAAAATTGTGATGGTAATCTTTTCATATTAACCTATTATGTCTTATCACAAATCATTTTCAACTATGTGAACCCAATGTTAATGATGCAGCTTGGATGGGAAGCTATGTTGGTCACAACTGGCCAATCACGACCGACTTACGCCACGTGAGTCTTATGGCCAATGGCACCTCGCGGAAAACTGACCTATCAGTTTTCACGGACCATACCAACAAAACTCGAATTACAAAATATTCTCTCGGTGATTCTGATTACGACTTCCGCTGAGGAAGTCGAAACGTCAGTCACTTCTTACGGTGGTTTCTTGGACTTTTTTCTCATGTCAAAATCACATTCCTTTTTTCCGAATAAAAAGCAATGACCGAAAGTAATGGCAACGAATTTTGATCACGAAAAATGGTCCATTGCATCAACTATTTATAACACTGAATTTAACAATTAACTCTGAGCATGCCAAATTGTGCAAATACCTATGAATAATAAATAACAACACAAAATAACCAAAACAAAATTATTGTATTGTGCTGAAGTAGGACCTTCAGGATAAGGATCAGTCTCCTTTTGAAAAGGGAAAGGCTCCCGTTCAAATAATTTTCGAGAAAATTTACAAGCCAGTCATCATTCAGGTGTAATCATGGGCGTCAAGTGCAGTGAAAGATGTACATTTGCTAAGACACTAGTAATGACGATGATCGTCAAAACATCGTTTTTTCATAATACTTTGAAATATTCGTTGTAGTCAGCGGTCTTAGTCGATCGATATGACCCAGCCTCTCCAACATGTCAGTGACCTGGTGTATTAGGGGGTGAATTCCCCCTTTTCGGCCATTTTTCGCTTTTATGCACTCAATTCGCTTTGAAAAAAAACTTTTTTTCCTTATTAGTTTAGTTTTAGCGGAGAGATATTATCCGGCCTTCAGTTGACGTTGTTTACCTTCTGGGCGAATACGACAGGTGTGAGGAGGATCAGCTTTGACCAATGAAACTTCTTAACTCGATCATTAATAGGGTATTTAATAAATAGTTTGAGTCAATGTCTATTCCAGCAGGCAATAAAAATTGTTCCAGAAGAGTGTTACCTTATCCAAAGACTTCACTCAACGAAAGCCCCAGTGACGCACATAAAGATTCTGTCGACCTCGACCCGCTGAAGAAAACAAAAGTAAGTTGTCTTGGATTTGCAACAATTCTCACTCTCAACAGGGCTTATGTGCCTTCTCACCTTAGCACGGAACACGCATAATTCTCAAGGCTAATGTCGTGTTTTTAAGATGCAAAACAGGAAGCAAAATATTTTCGCTTCTATTTATCTAACACGAAATTTCCATGAAAGCTATTTAGAGCAGCTAACAGAGCTTATCATTCTAGAAAAGATACTCGTATGTTCTTTGTTCTCTCTAAATGTTTTTTTAATCTCATGGTCGAAACACAAATCCATTTTACAATATTTATTGACGAAAAGCGACTTAAAAATGATCGATTGAGCGATGAATTTCTAATTCAGCGGGATGGAAAAATCCTCAGCGAATTGTTCGATGAATCTACAAAACAAAATCTGTCGGCGAGGATGCCCAATTATCAGCTTTATCCTTAAAAGCTAACGAATCAAAGGTGATAACATTCTAAAACGAAAGAGAGCTTTCATTGAAAGACAGTTACTTAGTAAAGAAGATACTCACGAGACAATTAAAACGCCACATAAACTTTGAAATTGAAAGTGATATTCAAAGAAAAGAGGAAAAACCGAGCGACAATTCCGCATGAAAAACTTCACCTGTTGGTGTCAAGCGCCCGTTTACCAAAAAGTCGCCACTGAAATATTAAGAGCTGCTGCAATTTGTCTTCTCAGTATTTTTTCGTTTGTGAGTGTGAATGATGCAAGGAAAAGAATGGACAGGTAAACAAAAACATTGCATAGGTCCATATGGACATCTCTAATGAAAGAGCCGCGAGAAAGAAATTTGAAATTCAAATCTATTAAATAATAAATAGTTCTTCACCTCGTTAGTTCCTTTGATAACATCCTTTACTTCACATATCTCGAATGACGCTTTACGGAAGAAACAGGTCCTTAAGGTTGGTAACAATTTCATTTCGCTAAAGTAAAAACTTCACAGCACGAAACATCAGGGGAAATGGAGAAGACTAATGGTATCGCGCTTTCACAACCGATGATCAAAATAATTATGTTTGTCCCGGAAAAATAGTATGAGAAATTAGCCCTGCAGTCGAATGAAATAAATGTAATTCAGCTGGAGATAACAAAATATTTTTGCAATTAAAAAGATATGGGCAGCGTACGCGTTTAATTCCAGCCGGCCAATTTCGGTTTACCTAACATTTCCATTTCTTCATTATACTCGCTGCTTTTCTCCGGAATCACAAAAAGGTTTAAAAGTTTCCCTGGTTCACCCAAGGAAAACATGTGTTGTCACCAAAACAGGGAAAGATTTTATGACAACCTCCCAGAAAGCGCGCTGTTTTTTGAAACTCTCTTCCGAAAGTGGTGCTATAACCACAGCAATTTGGTATGGCTCTCGATTAACGAGCAAACTTAAATTCACCTAAAATTCTGAATCCTTATATCGGATTTAATTGATAGCTTGTCAATTTTGAGAAATAAGTCGATGTTTAAACTTGTTAGGAAGTATACAGATGAGTTCCCTACAGCTCAGCAAATATTTCATAGATAAAGGGCGCAGCCGATTTACGATACAGGAAGGAAATATTAAAACTGAATTTGATGCAAAAAAAAATTAGCGGCGCGACGAAATATTATTAAAATTCACAGCTGGTTCCGAATAAAATTCAACTTCCTGTCTCGTATCCTGCTGTTGGCACTGATTTTCAGTTGTGTTTGCCATTTCGATCACTTGAGAATAAGACAGATGAGAGAAATTTTAAGTCTGAAAATTTCATTTCTGCTTTCCTTATATTTACAGTACAGATCCTTCTGAAGAAATGACGTTCGTCTACACTGTATTTTTTATTGAATGGGAAACATGTAAAGATTTCTTACGAGACATACGATTCCCTACGCGAAGTCAAATTGAGGTTCATGTGTTTCACCGTAAAGATACCGACCAAAATCAGCTTCGCAGCATGATTCCCGACAAAAGGCACCACGACGGCCGTCCAATCATCATGAAGCACTCTTCACTGACATCATTTCCGAATGCTGTCGAAGATTTGCTCGTCTACTACGCGAGTTCGTTCGATTTTTCAAGGCATAAGAAACCCGATGTTTACTTGGTCTCAGGCCAGGGTCGGCGCTACGAAGAGTTAGCGAAGATCTTACGAAAAGACAAAAGAGTGTCGGCATGGGTTATCGACGGGAGAAGGACAACAGTTCTTGACTGGCTCGATGCCAACTGTGTTTGCAAAATGTGCAAGTTTATATTCGAATCTGCACATGAAGGAGTTCAGCATTACGATGAGTTTCATATGAAGTAAACGGACACGTGGAAAGGATTAAACCAGAAAACAAGAAAAAAAAACTCTCCGCTGACGATTTTCCCGTTGTGCGGGCTAAGAGAATCATAGATACCCGCATAAACAAAATTGAAAGCTTGGTAAAGATGACTTCATAAACATGCCTGGCGTTTGTTATTAGACAGCCCATCACCGTTTTTCTTTTACTTTACGGTAAGGTACCTCGATGAGAAAAACCTGTTTTTCTGTTGTTGTTGTTGTTGTTTTTTTTTAATCAACCATCAAATATATAGCGCAGTGATAGGTGCGTCGCATTTTGACAGATAAGTGTTAAGATTTGTCAGGCAATCCATATAGACCCAACAATTCATATGAGAAGGTAGACAGCATAATTTTGTCAATAGCGCGTGTCAAGGATATGTTTGGACGTGGGCCAGGAATTCCATCTGTGGGATGACACACTTGCTGTGGAACTAACAGAACTAAACTCGCCCTCTAGACGTTATTAAGTAATTCTAAAATTCCCTAAAGCAGCTCGTGTCTGTCTTTCCAATAAAATTTTATAAAATTTATATATGCTAAATATTTTAATAACTTAGGTAACAACTACCTCAGCTGTATGAAACTTATCAACAAGCATGGCTTTTTGATCAGTTCAATAAATGAATGAAATGAAACTGCAGAGAGGGTGTTTTGCATGAAATAATTTTAAATGAGTTTCATTCTTAACACTCCAAGGATCAAAGTCGTTGAACTGGAGGTAATCACCCACAATTTTTTTTTTCTTCCCGGTCCTCCCCCATCTCTTGGTGCTATGCACCGTTCTTCAGTGGCCTTTATCCATGTGGTAAATCACTATTTTTTTTTTCATATTTTTCCCATTTTTCAGGTTGTCTTACACTCATTTTCCTTCTTCATTAGAAAACGGCTAAAATGTTTTTTCATCCACACTGTAGCTGATGAATCTTAAAATGCAGCAACACCTTTAGCTAAAACAGCATACACACAATGTGGTTTTTAATCATCAAATGAAGACAATTGAAGGGCCGTTACCATAAAGATCATGAAAAGCTTTTCTTTTGGTCTGGATTTGTGTAGATGAGAGACCTAATTAAAGCTCCATTTCAAAAAAAATGGTTTTCATCCACACTGTGAAGGAAAGTCATCATTTTCAAATTTTCAAATATCTTGTTTGAAGAACATTTTAGAAAAACTCTGAATACTTTATTTGCCTCATTAATTGATAAATTCACAGCATCAATGCATGTTCAACCTCGTGAAATGTGTACAAAATTCAGATATATATTAGATCTCAGATAAATATAATTTTCATTACCTCTGTAATTGTTTACCCCTGAAAAAATTCAGATATGATTCTTCATCTTTTATCAGATCTTCACAAAGCTCTTGGTTTCTTTTGCCAATGTTTGGATTTAGCACTAATTTTGAAACTGTTTGTGATTTTTTATCTCTGTGCTCCCCAGGGACAAGGCATTCTTCTTTCATCTCCAAAGACCTCTTTCTCAAGAGGTGTACTTCATGCCAGAAGTTTTCACCTTGAGAGTCAACTTTTTTCCAAAATGTTCTATTAAAGTGTTGGTAAAGAAAGACATCAGCTTTGTTCCATTGCAAAAATCTATCTCTAAACTGCTTGGGTATGTGGTGTTTCTTGAAGGAACGTACCCTTGCATTGTGTCTCAGATATAACACATCCTCTAAACTCCAACAAAAGTGGTGCTTCAGTAATACCAAAGACTCATCAAAATATTCTAGAAGTAACACCAGATCAAAATCTCTCTCAACTGAGGAGATGAAGTTTCTAATAACTTCAGTGTTTTCAAAGTCCTCAGGTTCAAGTCCAAGATCAAAACTCATGCCATTTCTTAGGGTGTACATAGTGTTTATATTGGACTTGTATCTATCAAGTCTGTGTAAAATTTGATAGAAAGGATTTGAAGAGCTAGAGATACCAAGCAAGGCTGGGATATCTTCAAAAAGAAATGCTGATTCAAATCTTGAAATGGGATGTCGGAGGATAGTAAAGAACTTTGTGTCAGGGGGCATCAATAGCCTCATGGAGGTTTGGTTGTATCTGAAAAGAAAATAGTAGAAAAAAATGCAATTTCCATTTGTAGGAACTGGGTGGTAAATCAAAACTAGAAATGGTCCCAACCTAGAAGGATGACTATTAACCCTTAACCCCTGAGAGTGACCAGCAGCTAATTTCTCCTTACAATATCACCACTGAATCAAACATTGAGGTCACAAGAATAAAGGAAATGATCACCAGCTAAAGAACCTCTTGATTTTTCAACATTCTTCCTGTCAACACCTCAGGAATGTGTACAGAAAAGTGTGGAGAATATGCATACTGATGTTAAGATGTAAATGGTTAAAACAGTAGTAAAACAAGAAACAGAGTATGGTAGAACTCCTCAAGATCTTGGCTACGCCAAGCAATTTTTTAGATTTCTGCACCTACTCAATATGACTTGAGAAATGGAAATGGGCAAAGTTGCAGCACCCTTACTTAATTTTATAGCTTCTGCGCTAAGGGCTACTTTTCTGGATTGTGAAGAGAGTGCTCAGGAAAAAATCACACATGATCTTAACATACCCTGCAAACTGGCCCTCTATAAGATAAAAATTATTTCACTTGCCTTGCATGACTACACAAGATATCTGGCTTCTCACTTGGTAAATTGTCAACAAAATTCACTTGAAAACTCCAGGGCCAATAAAAAGAGAAAATTTGACTCCTTGGTAAGGCCACTCTTAAATCCTTTCCTCTAGCAAATCTGAATAAAATGTTTGCTACGGAGCTTCCTCCTGTCTTGTGTGTTTTCAAAAACAAAATGCTTTTGACAGAATGGCACTTATTGCTAGAAAAAATAAAATCAGGTATTGTTAGTAAGAGAAGCCACCCATATAAGGAGGACAAAGAAACCAGTCTATCCGAATCTTCAAGTTTTACCGATCCCTTTTTCGAAAAATAAGCCAAATGATTGCAAAAAAATAAGGGAAGTGGAAAAAAACTGGACAACAAAAAAGACAAAGCCATAGTTTCAACGGCAATCTGTTGTTTTACCATTTTTTTAAGTCAAGAACTGCGTGCAAAATGAAGTATATAGGGAAATCTAGTAAAAAAAAGTTTGTACCCTACAAAACCTAATCAAAAGATTAGAGAAACAGATCCAATCGAAAAACATTCCGTTACTAGGAAATCAAAAACAGTTATAATCATTACATAACATACCTCCTGAGAGCTCTAAATATCGGTAGGGCAGCATATTTAGTGATCAAAATGATGACGAACAAAAGAAATGCTAATTTTCTAAAGCGAGACAGATCGAAAAGCCTCATTTCCCGTCGTCCGCTTTACAGATTCCTCAGCATCCAATCGTGTCCATTTCGTCCGCCATGTTTAATTCAATAAAAAAGCGGAGGACTGGGTCGAGTCACTAACGTTTTATAACTCGACTCCAGTTTGCCTCGGTGGTCTCCAACAGGCATCAGACCGGAACCACCGAAAAAGGGAACAGAAACTTCACCAACACCCTTTCTCTCATTTCCTCCAGAGCTGACGAGATGGGAGGGCTTCGATATTTTTTATTTGTGGGGCAGTTTTATTGAAATAACTGGTGTCATAACAGTTCCAACCATCTCAAGTACCACTTATAGTTAACCCACTTGTTAAAATTCTTTACTATGTAAATAATTAGCTCTAAAAAGCAGGAAGACATTTAAAGACTCGTGTAGGTTGTGGAATCAAAACTATTAAATACAAAGGAACGTGCCGGCTCTAGACGATTTCGATTTCCCCACTCCCCTCCCCCCCCCCCAAAAAAAAAAAAAAAAAAAAGCCAAGATACAGATTTTAAACGCTACTTGAGTTTTATTCTGTGTTCTCAATGCCTTTCTGTTTACAATAAACTGATAAAACCATTACAACATTATTCATACTAAAATGTTTGCTTTCAAAGCTGGTAACTAGGCTAAGGACATTTACAGAAAGAAACATTTAAAATAAAATAAAATGAACAAAAATTATTAAGTAATATCTGTTTGTTTCCTGATGTGGTCACTTCTGATGTACTGATTCACATCGCACTACGTTATGAGCTAAACAATTAATACTTTATAATTATTGTTATTTGCTGAGGGAGATGAATGAACATAAATTTTTTATACAGTATAGTACTTGATTTTTTCCCAAGTGGAGAAATACTTTAAGTTAGCTATTTGCCGAACTCCAATTAAATATCTCGTTTTCCTTGGTTGCTTTGTTTGTTTGTTTTTTGTTTTAAGTTTCTATTTTTCACGTATCTAGTCAGCTTTCTTTTTTTTTTTCCACTCCAAGAAAAGAGAGCTTCATCTTGTCAATAACGCTTGTGACTCAAGTATCATTCTGCTGTAAGTTGATTCTCTCCATAATAATCCATCCATTGTTGTAGTTTGTAAATTTGTCCCTCGACAGAGCTCTTAGCAGTTCCTCCCTCAGCTGAATATTGTTCCACACTGTGTTCATAGTCCCACACTTCATTAACATCTTCCTCAAACAGTGGGCTGGAAAGAGCACACAAGAAAAAAAACTTAAAAAACTTTGAATTATGGACTTTTTATTTCACCAAACTCTCTCTAAACCAGTAAATGCATATCCTGCAGTCTAAACTTTTTCCCAGGCCCTTTCTTCTCTCTCAATTCAGGTTTTTTTTTTAAGGAGGGGGGCAAAGGAGGGGGTGAGGGAGGGGGAGAAAGAGGGAAGGGGGGAAAGGGGGAAGGGGGGAAAGGGGGCAAGGGGGGAAAAGAACAGAGATCTTGGATCAGAGTTGGATTTCATTAAATAAAATATTAAGTATGCTTATAATTAGTGAGATAACGACAGTTAGCCCACGTGCCCTTGTACGAGAATCTGTCGAGAGTAGAGAGAACATGCAGCAGTGTTGCTGCAGATCTTTTAATTTTGAGTGAAAACAACATTGACTCCATTGAGATAGTAGCACTAAATGGAATTTATGATTTTGAGAAAAAACCTCTTGATTAACAAACAGCAATAAGGGTTTTCAAACCAGCAGCAGTCTTTGACTTTGGCTCACCTGATTTGCTTCAAGTCATTCAAAGTGAGTTCATTCAGAAGACAGCCTTTGGTTTCCGCAGCCTGAACTGCCTCACCGGACAAACTGTGAGCCTCACGGAAGGGAACCTGAAAGCACACGTACAATATATAACTGATGGTTGAATTGTGTTGGACTCTTGCAAGTCTATTCATTACATAAACTAATCCACTTGGGTAAAAGTTGAGAGTCCATTTTCCTCACCCATTTTATAGACTTCTTTTGAGATAAGCTTAGACTGTTTTGCATTTCTCTGTTGTCTTTAGACCTACCCCTTTCCGCACAAGGTAATAAGCCAGGTCTGTGGCCAGCATATCTGGACTCAGTGCAGCCAACATCTTGTCTTTGTGTATCTGATGATAACAAATAAGAATGAACAATAAGTTCACAAAAAAGTAGGAACTTATATAGAGTCCAAAGCCCTATTATCTTGTTAGATTCATTGCTCACCTTGAGTGTGAGTAAGGTTCCAGTAGCTACTTGAAGTAAACCACGTAATGTGTCACACACATCAAACAATGGTTCCTTGTCTTCCTAGGAAGGAACAGGAAGAACTAATGTCAATTTGGGAGCAATGGAATTCTTTTAAAGTAGCTCACGACCTAATTTCTAATCTTCCTCAATCTTCCTCAATTACCAGACGACCTGAGATCACAGGTTTTTATGGAAAAAAGGGTTGTAAAGGGATTACAAATCTTTCTGCATTTCTCAGCCATGAATCTCACCTGTAAGTCTTTGTTGTAGGTACTTGGGATACCCTGCACAATAAGAATAAAACAAGGTGTATCTAATTTCTCATCTGAGAAACACTGACAGTAAATATATGAAAAAAAAGTGAACTGCAGATAAAGAATTGAATATGGAGGCAATCTTTGCAGTAATGAACACTACTTGAGCAGTAGTGAAAATAAGGCCTGAAAAAATTCAGGCCTGTATGGGATTTGGACCCATGACCCTGTGCAATACCAGTACAAAGTATCACTGCCGAATAAAGCATTAGGCTTGTGAGAATTAAGGAAGTGATCGCAAGCATAAAAAACTTTGATTTTTTAACAAAACTCTCCTTTCAGTGCCATGGGAAACTTGTATACATACTGATGTCAATATAAAGAATTTACTTTGGTTGAAATTTCAAAAATGGTTTGTGTCAAAAGTCTAGTCAAAACTTCTTGCAAGTTTGGATCCGTGAAAATCTTTTCCATCCTTTATTATCTTCATTTGTTCCTTTTAGTTTCTTCCAACTTCTTAGAGTTTGCACATCCTGACAAATTATCATTTTAAGATAAACCTCATAATGTTTAAAATTGTACGATACAATCTTAAGACAAATGTTAATAAAATATGTTACCTTCAAGGTCATCTGCATGCCTGCACACTGCAAAAAAAAAAACACAAAATTGACTACCATTATTTACAAAGTAAACTAGATATCAAACCTCAAGGACTCTAAGTCAAAACTATTTACGTGAACTCAATGTTTTTGAATACTTACTCGGCCAAAGATTCGTCCTGACTTCCCTCGAATTAATTCTAAACTGTCTGCATTTTTCTTTTGAGGCATTAAACTGCTCCCAGTGCTGAAATATAATCAACACAGACCAGGTTACCATTGTTTAAGCTCAATGAGTTTTGTCATCAGTCAATGAATGATGTGCTACTCCATCATAAATGTGCTCTGCTTTTCCCAGTGAAATAAGAGAACACAATACCAAGACAGTGAGGGCCTTTTGATCAAGGCCATAAAACCAGAACCAAGGAAATCACAATGGCCAATTACAACCAAGGAAACTATTACAAGGAGCCAATAAGAACTTAGAATAAAACACACCAATACAACCAATAAGAACTTAGAATAAAACACACCAATACAACCAATAAGAACTTAGAATAAAACACACCAATACAGCTATTAAGAACTTACAATAAAACACTCCAATACTCTCTGAAGGACAGAAAAATGCAAGTGTAAAAGACCAAGTTGCATCTTATTGGTGGAGAGGGTGTCACAGGGGAGTTTTTCAGACCAATCACAAAGCAAGGAAGAGAAAAACCAAAAAATTGCCCTATCCCCTTTGAATATGCATTCCCACAATCCCTGTTTCCTGAGCAGGAAAAGTTCTAGAAACACGATTACAAAGGTATCATGGATCCCATCAGAGGAATAGATAAATAAAAAATAAACAGAACTTGAAAAGAAAACCAGCCTGTAAGCATCAGATAATGACATAAACCCAAACTCTTTGGTTGAGTATAGAATCATGTCCTCTGCCCAGCGACTGTGAAAGAAGATGAACAACAAGTATGATTTGAGGAGAAATATTTCACTTACTTAAGAGGAAGAAGATGTGAGTTTTAAAAACAAAAAATAAGAACTGCTATAACATCTTAAAGATACTCATCACCTTGCCTCAGGATCAAGTTTTTATGGGGTGGGGAGGGGGAGGGGTGCTTGGTTTGAAATCATTTCAGAAGTTTGAGATAAAAATTTCATTCATTCCTACATGTAATTTGATGCCATAATCTGATTCCCCAAAGAATATCGTTCTAAATTTCTAGACAGGACATGATCTGCTACATCTGTGAAAATACTTAACTGTAGGTAACTGTAACCATAAAGTTGAAAGAGGTACAAATTATAAAAACAAAGAAATTTAAAAGGACTAAAAATTTGATATACAGCCAGAGAGAAACTACCAAGCTGACAAGTGACCTAGTGGGTCTTCTCTTCTTTAAGTTAAAAATTTTTATATAACACTTTTCCTTGATTCTGTTATATTCATTGTCAATTAAACCTGAGATGTGTTGACAAGAGCGAAGCCCAGAAGAGAAATTCTACAATATAGTCTCTGTCCCCTACTGCATCCATACTGTTCCCTGTCACGGCGGAGAAATTTAACTCTAAAAACAATTCAAAGAATAAAGTTTAATGGAAGAAGATTCATCAAAGCTCAGATATGCAGAACAGAAGAATTTAACCCTTCTATTCCCAAGATTTCATTAGAAATTCTTCTAACAGTCTGCCATAAAATTCTTATGATGTTAGTTCGGATAAATTGGTATTAATCCCTTAATTTATAGTCAAATAAATATCTTTATTCTCACCACTTGTCTTCTTGATATTGTATTAATGTTGTAAGGAGAAATTCAGTCTTGGTCACTCATGGGAGTTTAGGAGTTAAGGAAGACCTTAATTTTCTTGTCAGGTAAGGTGATGATGGAGGCAGGTGCTGTGCAACATCAGTGAGAAAGTAGGTGTTTATCAAGATGTCCATGTTTATGTTTATCAATCTTTAATGTTGATAAAAATTAGTTGTTGATACCAGGAATAAGTTGAATGGAAAAACTATCTGAAAATATTTACCTTTGGAAAGAAGCTGACGGTCAATATTGAAAGGATTCCCTGCAATGGCACCACTAAAAAGGCAATAAAGCAGCCAGACAGGCACTTATTCAGCCAATCAGTCAGGCAGTCATACAGGTAGTCAGTCGGTCAGTCAACCAATCAGTGGGTCACCCAAACAGTCTCTCAGACAGTAAGTCAGACTGTCAGTCAGACAGGCAGTGAATGAGTCAGTCAGGAAAACAGATGGTCATTTGCAAGTCAGTTACACAGCCAGTAATATTCTGTCAATCAATCCATCAGTCTTTTGGCCACACTCAGTGAGTCAGTTAGTCAATTGATTGGTCAGTTGTCTATTAATCATGTTATTCTTGATAAAAGCTCTCATCACTCAGAGGTAAGGATGTGTTTTGTGACAAGCCCATAGAATGTATTTGCCTGTGGAAGAACTTTTGTGACACCAAGAAGAATTCAAACCAATACCTTTCAATTTATACTCCGATAAGAGTACGATAAAGTATGTGTCAGACCTTCCCCCTACACAGTTACCCCCCTCCAAACCACCTTCTTGCCAGTTTCCTCCTCCCCATGCCTCCTTGCACAGTCAAGTCAATACCAACCTTCCAAGAGGGTTGACGTCAACTCGTTTAGAGACCTCTTCCAAGCGATCATAATCTCTCTTCAGTGCCCAAGCATAACTAAAAAAAAGTAAAGCAAAAATGTCAAGCTTTTTACTTACCACAACAAGTTGAAGTTTCACAAAAAAAAAAGGAAAAGTCTCAGAAAAAAATCAATCTTGAGATCAAATTTTAACTATTTAAGTGAAATGGTTCAAGCATGGCATAGCCTCTATTAGCAAACATATACCAGACTAAATGACTGTGAATGTATGAAAATCATATATGTGAACTGCGGATAAAGAAGTGAATAAGAACTTTTCTTTGAGCAGAAGTGAAAATAAGGCCTGGAAAAATAAAAAAAGAAGAACATTCTCTATTAATAGTTACTCATACCTCAAAAGCCAGTGACTCCATCTTATTGGTTGAGCCCGCTAAGATAATCAAAAGTACAAATTTTTATGCGAACTGCTTTGCAATTATCTCAATAAATAAGATTTTAATATAAACAAAGGTTTTACAGTTTATCAAACAAGCTTAGAATTAGCACCTGCAGATGAGTATATCCCGGCATCAGAAAGTCAATTTCTCTATAAAAACAGAAAATTATTAATTTTATTTACCAAAAATACTTTAAAAAATAACTGACAGAAAAATATTTGAAAACCAGGCCTCAGTTGTTCAAAGGGTGAATAACAACATTTACTGGATAAACCTCCACCTTGTGCATAGAACAGTTTGTTTTGTTAACACTCATCTGCTAGATAGCAATTTATCTGTCAGATAAAATTATCCCCCCTTTGTACAACTGGGCCCAAGTCTGCATGTGTACATTTAAGATTCTTTAGCTACTTTCTTTACTGAGCTGTAAAGTTTAATCACTTGTTTGTTTGTTTGTCATTTTTCATCATTGAATTACTGGTTTTACAAACTGCAAACTGATGGAAACTTACACTTTAGCTCTTACTAGAAAGGCTTTAATCAGCTCAAACAACAGGGTTTGAAGAGTCTTGATCTCAGTTTTAAGCCACAATCTGCGAAAGATATTTGTAAAAAGGCAAAATCTTGTGGAAATGAACCCAGATAGGTATCTCTGTATTGGTTTGCTGTAGACAGTGTATCAAACACCCCCACACACCCTCCCCCCCCTCTCTAGTGCATTCTACCTTTGGAGCTTCAAGTTCTCAAAAGCCTCTTCCTGTCCCAAAAACTCTAAAATAAAACACAAAGCATGTGGTGGTAATTCTAATGATTATACTGTAGACATTAATGTTTGGTAACCTTTTAGTTTAAAAAAACCTTGTATTTGTATTTGAATACCTATGTAATAGTTGCCAACTAAATAAATGCACACTTTTACTCTCAAAAAGTCTCCACAGATGTGAAAGCCCTGGAAATCAGTTTGACATCATCAATTTCTGGTTCATAACAATGGTTTTATTTTGAGGTTTGATACATAAAATACACTTATCATAGATAAATAAGTCATTCTAGCCCTGGTGTTATACGTTTTTTTACCTTGCATCCACTTGAGCCTTGAAGAAGGGAAAAGTGAAACATTTTACAACAAAATTTTTAAAGGCATTTGATGCATTATTAAATAATCATAACAAAAAGAGCTATATGTCAAACATTACACTATGATGACTTAATTTATCATTTTTGTGGCAAAAATCATAAAAAAAATATAAATGACTAAATAATAACCCTTAAACTCCCAAGATCTGAATGTTAATTCTCCCCACTAGTTGCTACAAATATCCATGTAAATTAGTTGTGAGAATTTGGTGTAAGATCAAGATAACAAATTCTACCTGATAAGTTTGAATATTCTCATTACCTGTTTGTTGGATAATGTAAGGATATTATTGGGAGAAGTTTCATGTCGATCACTTCTGGAAGTAAAATGGACAATCAATAAAAAAGTAATAATACCTGGTCATTTCTGCTCCTGCCAGTATGAAGTTTACCACCAACACTTCCGATAATTTCCTGTAAATGCAAAGTAACAAATTAATTCTTTTAGAGTACATCAAGGTATCATACACGTGTGACAACAAATCAAGTTACCTTTAATCTTCTTTCATTTGCTGTATGGATGTCTTCATCTGATGGTTGAAGGTCAAAGATTCCATTTGACCATTCATCTCTGACCTTATAAAGATCAAAACAACATGACAAAATTGTTTTACACCTGCTTTAAATTATATTTTATTGATTACTATAGTCCAAGAATGATTTAAATGCAGCAATGAAATGGATAAAATGTACATGCAGTACTAAAAAGATGGGTTTACAAATGTTGTTGATGTTGAGTACAATTGCAGTACAAATTAAAGTAAAAGGTAAATTTTAAGTTTCTCTAACTGTTGATGAAATTTATCTTGTTCATAGCAGGTATCTAAAAGTGTTCCCATAAACAATATTCCATCAAAACACAAATGATTACAAATCCAATCACATATGAAGCTAAAGAAGCTAAAATTTTGAAGAACACACCAAAAAATACTTGCATTATCATGCCTGGATGTTAAATTCCTCTATGATTAGAATGAATACTTAAAAAAAGGACAGGTATTCATAATCCAAGCACTCAACTAACCTTGCCTAAGCCACTTAGGATTTCTTCCATTTCATTCTTGGTTACTAAGCCAACTTTCTCTATTGCTTTAACATATGCTTCACTTCCCTATCATCAGAAAAATTTTCACAGTGTGAGAAATATTTAACTTTAAAACTTACCACTCCAAGGTTAAGGCCAAAACAGATCGTTATCCATAGCAGTTATAGAAATATTTTGACTGATCAACTGTTTTTAACCCTCACAGACAATTACGAATCATTTGGTGATCTGTCTGTCTGACTGACAAAATAACATTTAATGCATCTAATGGGAAAATGGACAGACTGACAAACAGATGGACAGACTCACTGAATGACTCACTGGAGTACTGGCTGGGTGGCTGATAGGGTGACTGAATGACTCTCAGTTTGAATGACTGACTGAATGAATGGCAGACTGACTAAACTCCCTAACTGGCTGGTTACATTTCCAACTAATTGACTGGCCCTAAAACTAATCAGCAAAGAATAATTTACAACCTAGCCACTGCAGCTAACCAATGAACACCTGAATGACTGAACAACTAATCAACAAGACAAACTAACTGACCCGCTCACTAACTGACAGACTGAGACCCTCACTAACTTGCTCACCAAATGAAGAACTGATTGAAAATGTAACAGACTTTGAACCTCTCTTAGGATTAGAAAACAAGATTACCATAATGTCTTCTTTCCACATTCTTTTATCAAATCCAATGGAGGCGTTGAATTTATTCATCTCTGGATCAACATCACCAGAAAAACGCCCACCCCACAGCTTATTGCCCTGTGTAATAATTATGAAGCACTTGGTTACACGATGGAGGTATGTGTTTGCATAGACAATCTCGTGAGCGGATGAACAAGAGTAGTGCACGTGTTAGCTTGTTTTACCTCGCTTGCCATTTAACAATTTATCGTCCGTGGAATTGCTCAAATTGAATACTGTCTCTCTTTCCTTGGTAGTGAACAGGATAGTGTCTTCGAAAAGAGAACAATACAGCTGAGGATTGTTTATGAGCCTGCAGTACTGAAAGTAGATTAAAGAGAAGAGACTGGGATTAGTAAAGATGGTGGACAGAGGAGATGAAGAGTGGATGGAACATGCATTAAATTTGGTAAGCAATCTCGTATTTTTTGGCGTTCTTTTGTGTACTGTTGGATAACTAATAAGTTAGCATCCGAAAATAATAATATTCCTGATAAAAATAGTATGGTGAATTTTGGCTAGTGATGAGTTTATATAGAAGCCCTATCGCGAAGTCGAGCATACTGTTTCCTTTTCATCGTCTGTGCTTTTGTTCTTTTTAATTCTCCCCCACTACACGATAAAAGTGAAATACCATGATAATGGGATCTATGGCATTCTTTCCGTTTGCTAAAAAAACATTTCAGCTTATGATACTCTGTGTTGAGGTTATAAGGTATTGCGTTACAAAGCTACTTATAATGTAATCACGTTTCGCTCGGTGAACCAGCTGTCACGCAACAGTCTACTGCCACATACATCTAGCTACTGCTTTGCTTACTGTGTAGCGTCAGAAAAAAAGTGTGAATTGGTTCACCATTGCCTTCTGGTAACCTCAAATTACTAAAATACAAGAATGTTTGGAGAGTGTTACACGCGTGAATTTGTAGCTATTTGTGTCTTCATGGAAGGTGCTTCAACCTGCAAGGGAAGACGCGGAAAAAAAGGAGGCAGAAGAAGGAGAGTTAAACAGTAAACACAAAAAAGCGTTTCAGCGATCAATGCTTGAAGCGCAATGCAAAGTGAAATGAGGGACTGTATGTGAGATTTTTCGCGAACTGACGCGTACAGAAACTTCGATCGAAATAGACTCAGGCCACTGAATCTCTTAAGTCTAGTAAGAACCCCTATCGATGTCAGTCAACAATATTTCCGCTCCGATGCAGACTGCAAAAAAAATTCCTTTTTCTGGTACGGCAAAATTGAACATGATAACAGCTTGATAACAACCTTAGGATTACAAGAGCAACCTCTTTAGCTTTCGAAACTGTACAGTGTGTCACTGTAAATCAATAGTGGTTTTGAAATCTTTGAATAGATGACGAAAAGAAGTTGACGTGAAGTGTCATCAATCTCGCGCCTTCCGTTCTACTCTCAAATTACTTTTTGTTTTATAATCTCCTGAAGTAAAAGGATACCAAAATAAAATTTCCAGGACTCGATAGATCTTTATTTTTTTCCAGTAGTTAAATTTCTGGACATTGAATAATACTTTTTCTCAGTGATACCTTAAAACCTCTAGACAAGAGTAGATGGGTGATTATTATTTTTTGCTGACCTGCACAACACGAATCTCTTGCCAGGGTAATAGTCAACCTTTGAAAAATTATTTTCGATAAGCTATTTAACCCTTTACACCCTAATATCATTATGCATATTCTCCATGCTGTTCTGCATTCATTTCCTTCGGTGCTGACCAGGAGAATTTGGGCTGTAATCAAGAACTTCTCTGTTGGTGATCATTTCCTTTATTCTCCTGACCTTAATGTGTGATTCAAGAGTTATATTGTGAGGAGAAATTAGATGTTAGTCACTATTCGGGGTTAAAAGATTAATACTATTCCCGTATGTTGAATAATGTTCCATTCTTTCATAGGCAAAAGAGGCCCTGAAAAAAGGCGAAGTGCCTGTGGGGTGTATTATGGTCTACAAGAACCAAGTTATAGGCACAGGAAGGAATGAGGTAAATGAGACAAAGAATGCGACAAGACACGCTGAACTAGTAGCCGTTGATCGAGTTAAGCGATGGTCAGAGAACCAAGGTCTTTGTTTTGAGGATGTTGTGAGAAATTGCAGCCTCTTTGTTACAGTAGAGCCGTGTATCATGTGTGCTTCAGCACTGCGATACCTGAATGTCTCTAAAGTTGTCTTTGGCTGCGCAAACGAACGATTTGGAGGCTGTGGTTCTATTTTAAACATTCATACAGACGATTATACAACAGAAACATCTAAATGTGTTTCTCAGGACGCATCTTCAAATGGTGTTGAAAATACAATAGGTTGTGTTATGGAGAACAAATCTGTTGTCGCAGCTTCCTCGGACTTGTTGAAGAATCTCTCTGAGACGGACGATGAATTTCCATGTTGTACCTCGTGTCAGACATTAATTGGCACTTCATTTAATTCCGCTAAATCAACCGACTTTGATTCACAGAAAAGTCTGGAGATTTCTTCAGAGGCCTCCATCCGAGAAATTTCGCCAACTGTCGTAGGAAATTCAACAGGTTGTTCCAAAGGGCAGCAATGTTTATGCGCGCCTGTAAACTGTGAGGAATGCGGTCGAGCCCTATCGAATTCATGTGGCGAGAAATGCACCCACTCCACCACTGTAGGGAAACCTCTTGAGTGTGTATCTGGTGTTTTAGCAAGTACCGCCGTTGATTTGTTAAAAGAATTCTACAAAGGAGAAAATCCGAATGCACCATTTCCGAAAGTCAAAACAAAACGATAAAAGTGATAAGTGAGCTGAAGTTCCTGAATCATGGTTCTTTTGTGGAATGACTTCTTTTTTTCACAACTGGTGAATAAAGTTTAAAAAATACAATGCATGGAGTTTTAGTCACCTGAAACACGTTTGTTTAGTTTTGAATCTTGGCCAACCCGTTAAACATCGTTTCTCTTCAACACACGTGTTAGTGTTTGTACAGTCGGATGGTAGTTTCAGAAAGAGCTTTCAAATAAATGTCAACTCATTTATTTTGAGAGAAATCTCAAATTTAGATAATTATCGTCAACAGCTGAGCACTCGCGACATAAATATTTAATTCACCTTTTGTTCAAAGCAGTAGGAACAAAGATGGCTGTTAAGAGGATTAGTTCCAGTCGGAGGGTGTCGAGGGTGTCTTAACTACTTATAAAGCTGTTTGAAAAAAGGGGCATGTTTGACATGTTGGCTTTTATTTCGTTTTGTTTTTATATCTATATATATATATATTCGCTGATAAGAAAAGACATTTTTCTATTTTAGAAAGAGCTGGTTTCTCATTTTGAAGTAGTGAGTTAGCCAAAACATGGCGAGTTTCTTGAAGATGAAGAATCTAAATGAAGACTAATGAATACTCGCGCTGATTTGGAAAAGTCGATGTTCAAATGGTTGCTAAATGTGTGAGGGGTTAAACGCCCCCGATGTTTTTTTTTTCTTTTTTTGATTGCAGCTGGCGAAGATAAACGCCCGAAAGGCGAATGTTTTGGCGGCACCAGATTAAACTTTCGCGATCCCTTCCCAGTGACGTAGTTATACGAAACCTAAAAATTGTAGATTGAAAACGTTCCCTCAAGCCGAAAAATTAAACCTTTTAAGAGTTTCCAAGCTTTTCAATTAAGTACATTGTTTCTGGTTTGAGTATCAGTGTTGTCTAGGTAAAGGTTGTCCGAAACCAACCGACACCAGCATATTATTTGGGGTTTAATAACAAGAAGCGACAAAATATTTCGAAAAGAGGGCACTTTCTCTCTAATTATTCTGCTGGTAAGACAGCTGACTCTTTTGTCGGCGAGGAAAAAGTTTTTGTTTTGTAAATGACGCGAAAAGTTGACAATTAAAGACGAGCTAGGTAGACAATCTCGTACCCTCAAAGCCGTGCGGCTCTCCCGTCAGAACTCTTTTAGTAGTGTCTCCGCACCGTAACCAACAATTGAGTAAGTCTCGACAGTTCGCAAATAAATGGTGGCCAATTCATACAAGCGGAACGTCATTCGTTTGTTTCCAAGTGTAGCCTTATAATTATTAGGTAGATGACAGTAGACGCATTTATTTTTATTTCTCTTCCGACGCCAAGTTTAAATTCTATGAGGTTTGACTCGTGACTGGCGAATGGCGAATTGTTTAGGTAAGTGTTTTCACACAATTGTTAGATTTTTACCTACAAAAGATGGGCTGGCACTAATGCCAAGTCTTCAGTGTTTTTACAATGAGGGTTCATCCGTCGGTAAATACACGGTATGTAGTCTCTCATAAAGAGATCCCTAAACTTAGCTCTGACTGTGGTGTATGAAACGAAATGGTTCTGTAATTGCACTTTCTTGTGGTATCAGCACAGTGTGTGTTAATCTAGTCACCAATTTTGTATGCATTTCTCAGTTCGGAAAAAGGCATTGCCAGCTTCTGTCGAGGAAAGTAAACATTACCTCACGGAAACTTCCGTGCGTTTTCAATGCTATTGATTTTCCTGATATTTGAGCGTAACTTTGGAACACAATAATCCAACAAAACCAAGTAGTCGAAACATTTATTTTCCTAACTTAATAGTTATCTAAATTCGCTTTCAACCTCTGCAATTTTAATTAGCCCGTCTGTCCCATGTTTATTCAAATTTATTTTTATTGTTCTATGGGCATAGGGTTTGGAAATTCATTTTTCACGGCGTTTGTTCTGAGGTAGCTTTAACTCAAAGGTTTTTCCCTTCTCTTTATTTTCGTTTCTGCCGGATGTCAGCCAAGTTCAAGGCCAAAGCTTAAAAATTCAAGTGATGCACGATCCGTTCGTCAAATTTTCATGTTGGTTAGACGTTCGAAATAGTACCTGGACACTGGTAACGCTCCACAATAATTAAATCAATATTTTGGTTCCAAATGAAACAACGATTTTCAAACTTCCTACCTTGCACAGAAACTACCAGACTTCAAGGCTGAGTATTCCAATAGAGTTCTTAAGCGCAAAACAGTCATTATAAACAAACACAGAAAACACGTGCTTATTATTTAAGAAAAAAATGGTTAGCGCGATTAGATGGTAAAAACACACTACCACAGTGGGTGGAGACAAAAGTTTAGGGAGGGCAACATAACACTTAAAATTAAAACACGTCGATAAACAAATGTTGATCCACCATTTTTCGCACCCACGTATCAATTACCTTTGTATTTTGCGAATGAATATCCTTAGAGATCTGGAGCTTTACAGAAGTTTCACGTTTTCACGAAATACGAGTAGAGCTTGAATGAATACAGCGAGCCCAAGGTGTTAAATGTAAATCTGATGTCCCCTGTAGTACCGCGCAGCTTAAACTGACACCCATCTCATTTCCAGACAAATTTCTGTAAGTAAATATGTGTTGGCTTCACTTTTAATAAAAAAAGGAAACCATTCAAAGAGTTGATTGACAGGGCCTCCAAAAGGCAATATTTCACTTGGTATCCGACACTTGTATTTTTACTAGTTTCATTTCCCTCGCGAGTAAACACTTTATTTCGCTGTTTGGCATTGAACGGAAAGGCTGCAGTAAACCCGCCGAAGACGACTCAAGTCAGGTCAGAGTTTACCCTCTTTATGATATTCATAAATAACCGCGAATTGTTTGAACCTAATTTAACATGAAAGACATGAGATTGAAATAAACATTTCACAGGTTGCTTTGGTCAAAAATTCACACTTTTTAGAAAAATCAGACACAAAGAGTTTTGGATCGATAATTGTCCAGGTAGCTATTAGAATGCGAATACAAAATGGCAGAACGTACTCGGCGTTCTGAGAAATCAATACAACGGGGAGGTTTCTAAAGAAACTGTGGTGCTGCGTCAGTGGGAGAGTATAACAGGGTAATTTAGCATTATCAACTGAGTTGATAACATAAATTGGCCAAGGTAAAGAGTTTCAAAGCTGACGTTTCGAGCGTTAGCCCTCCGTCAGAGCGAATGTACTATCTGAGAAATCAGTTTGAATAATATTCAGATCAATCGACTGATTTCACAAGTAGATCTAAATGTTTCCATTGAGAATCGTTCGGCGGAGCAAGCACAATAGTGCTTCGACAACGATGACAGCACAGAATCAACAGCCAGTTCTTAAATTAATAGCTATTTTATAGAACCGTGCGAAATGTGGCAGGCTGACACTTAGGTGTGAGAAAATAGCCTTGGGATTTGTGTCTTACTTGTTCCAGGAATGGTTAAAATATTACATATAGTGCAATTTCAGAAAAAAATAAACGCGAAGTTCACAAACCAAATAAACATTCAGTCATATAGCTTTGAATGCAATTCGCCATCATTTCAGTAAAACACATAAAACACTCTCTACGCGTTCGAAAGCGTTTATCCCGCCTTCCTTTACGATAATCAACAATTTCGTATATGGGGGGTAAATTTCTAAAGGCTGTGGTGCCGCGTCGGCGAGGGAGCATGACAACATAATTTGGCTTTAGCGTTAGCCCTTCGTCTGGGCGAATTATCAGTTCGCTTTGAAACTCTTTACGGTGCCCAATTTACATTATCAACTCAGTTGACAAAACCAAATTTTGTATATGGCACCACAAAGGAAATTTTCAAAGGTCGCAATCAGGTTGCATAAAATGGCTGTTTTTGCAGGACATTTAAAGTAAGGAAGATAAAGACTTCATAATCTCGATTTTTGGTAGAAATCTTCTCTGCAAATTTGAAAGGTGTATAACGGGTAAAGACCAAGAAACTTCACCAAGTAAATCTTGCAAACACTTGTTAAACGAGGCAACGTGTGTTTTTGGGTGAGGGCAGTTTCATTTCATTTCGATGATTAGTTAGGCTTTTCATTATTTCTACGGTTCTTTGTCTCCTGTGTTTCAACTAGTATTGTCACGTTTCTTCTAAGCTGTGGAACATACACAATACGGTAGTTCCCGGGCTTAGAACCGGCGGTTCATTCAACGGTGCGAAAATCGGGTATTATGACTCTTACAATGTTGGTCGCTGGAAAACACCAGTTAAGAAGAATACAACTGCTTTGAGAAAGAATTTTTCCTCGAAGGGTTCTTTGAAAAAAATGGGCAATTAACTCATAATGTTCAATCGCTCGGGTTGAGTCAATGCAAAATTCGGGTACTTTTTTTTTTACAATGTTGGTCGGTAAAAACTATCAGGTGAGAAATTACACCACTTTGTGGGAGGATTTGTCACTGCAGGTTACCGTGAACCAAACTACCAATTAACTCATTTTAAAAGTACAAACCACCATAACAAAGTGTTTCTCAGTGTTCTTGTCTTCCACATTTGCATTGTAAGGCTAAGAGAAAGAAAAAAAACTGTCGGATCACGCGGCTTATATTTCAGTTTTAAATTAAATGGTGACTGAAGTTGAGCTAAGTGTTCCTCAGATGTATGGATGAAAAAAAAAACAAAAACGGAGATACACGAAAACGAAGGAAATAGCGTCTAATTTCTCTTTAAAGTCCTTTAATGAGGCATTTTATAATTTTTTCGCGGTGCTTTTGTGAGCACGTTGGGATTTTTATTGTTGTCAGAAGATATTACAATGATGGAGGAGCCCCGAAAATGCAAACAAAAGAAGATCTATGAAACAACACTTGAGAGGTAGCGTGCTCATCGCCTTGATTGTGTTGAGGACGGCTCAGAAAATACTTGTTTGGTAGGCATAGCTTTTTGGAGGAGCTACGATATTGTTATTAAAGATGTTGTTTGGATGTAACATAGTATGTTTTTTGATAGAAACCATTAGAGTCGGATATCAAAAATTAGAATCTACAAGAGCACATGGTGTGATAAAAAACCTGGCAAAACCAGCTGTTTACTTCCGAACCAGGCCAGGCATTCTCTTCTCTCGCAAACAGTCGATACCATCAATAGTAACTTAGCTTATCAAGAAGGTAGAAGAAATATGGGTAAAGTCTCCGCACAGCCCCATACTATTGTAAAGCAAATCTGTTTTCCCAATGGCAATGTATTGTTTTTGTCATTGTTTTCTCTATCCAAGAACTGAATGCATAATGTAGGATGGGGCTGTGCGGAGATTTTACCGAAATATGCTCTGGATTACGATATAATAGGAAAAAAATCATCGTGGATTCAGAGACTAAACATAAGTTAGGCTAAACTACCGCATCGTTAACATCTCTGGAAAGGGTTACCTTCTAAATGCGTGTCAGACTTACTGTATACGTGTCGGGTAATTAGAAAATGCATCTTTATTCTTCAAAATACCAGTGTGGTATTGTATTTGTAAGGAGCAGAGATTCCGAGAGAAGAAACGCCTAGGTTCGATTCCCGATTTAGTTTGTTTCTGTCTTTTCAGTCGAAACACCTGCGTTCCATAACGTTTACGAAGACCAAATTCAGAAGGGTAGGCCATGAACGTTGTTCTCCAGATTTCCTCAAAGTAACTCAAAAGAAATTTTTTTGGGGGGAAAAACGTTGCTCAGACGTTGGTCGTGAAAATAAAACGGCTTTTGTATTAGTTGTTAGGTTGTTTAAAATCGTGAGAAAAACCTCAGGGGCAATTTGAAATTATAATTCTTTCAAACGAATGTCTGTCACTGAGCCTTTCGCTTTCCGCCATCTCGTAAACATGGTATACACGATTTATAACTCGAAACTGGAAATTGAAGAAATGTTTTTAGGGAATAAGAAATGATAATAAATTTATACTCTTTTCTCTTCATATAAAAATAATCGTTACTGCGGCCCACAGTATATTATGCACCGTGGGCACGGTAACTTCTGCCCTTAGTTCTCGATCAACAAAATGTCATTTTTCGTGGTCAAGCTGAATGGACCGTGACTACCAAAGAGAAATGAACAAAAACGTTTATTCGTTTTGTTCATCGTTCTTGTTTTTTTCTTTTGTTTATAGAGTGACTCTTCACACTTGCAGGGACGATTTTGCTACTAAAAAACAGGAAGAAATAGTTTCCCAAGGAGGGGGGCATACAAAAGATTACCTGGAGCATTACGGCGATGTCTTTTAACCCTGAAAACGCTATGGATTAAAAACATCTTTCACTTCATTTCCTTCGGAAGGATAAAATAAATTGTGTGAATTGTGGTGTATCAATCTCAGGGGGTCTAAAAATTGCAAGTACTACACGAGTACACAGGTAATCACAAAGTTCACAAAATGTTCAATGCTTCCGTCCAGTCCTGAAGGACAGTCTTGTTATTTAAACAACAAACCCTTGGAGGTAAAACCACAAAACAAACTGAAATCATTTACGAAACTGCCATTAAAAAGAGAAATATGGCTTTGCATGTCTTGTGTCGTTTTACGTTCTCCCCGCTCTGTTTCTATTCTTACCCCAGGTTTTTTATGGTTTTGTATTTTTTTATCCGCGTTGAAAGTCTTCTCTTCCTGTAGGTTGAAGGACAGCGAAAATGCTTGATATGAGACATATTTATCATTATGCATACATCAAATTATGTAATTTGTATACATCTTTTTTATTTTGTCTTGTTTTGACTTCACGCGATCAGAAAGTAGCTTTTAATTTCACAACTGGTTCGAGGTGAAAGGAAGGAAGTATTGAGATCTATTATGTATATGAATTTTCTGCTGGGAAAAGACGCTGCTATGGAGACGCCTTTTCGATCATTACGACTTATTTTTCCTAATTTACAAAATCAAACGGATCGGCTAAGAGTTTAAAAGTTACTAATGGACTTTTAAAGCCGCGCAAGAGAAATAAAAGAGAAATCAGTAGCCTTTAAAAAATTTTCATTTAGGTAGATCAGTTTCATACACTTTCTAGTGGCTAAAAAAAAAATTTATTTAATCAAAATAATATTTTATTTTGAAAACACATCAAAGCACCGAAGAGGCTTTCATTACCCTAGAGCATTGCTACGATTGGTGAACTCTGGATGAGTGACAGCCGCCAGAAACTAGCGCATATAGGACGTTCGAAATTGTTCGATTTATGAAAAGTTTTTTTAATAGTTGTCGTGGTGGTGCAATCGATCCACTGAACAAAAAGACAAGGGCATATCTTAAAGCTTTACAAAGTAAGTATTTTAATTTCAGATTTCCTTCAGATGCTATACATTCAGTCATTTCTCATTTTTTTCAAACAGTAGTTCCGTTCTGTTGACAATGATAAAAAGTTCACCTGTCTGAATATTCACATGCTACTTTAAACATTGTTATGTTAACAAAGTAGTTCAACTATCTTTCAATAATTTTACATGGTCTGATGCTACTCTGGTTTAAAGATTTAATAAATGTAACCGAGAAGTTACAATTAATAGACCCAGCTTTTCGACACTCCTGTCTGGTGCCTTCAGAAGTGTCGAAACGTTGGGTCTATGAATTGTAACTTCTCGGTTACATTCATTAAATCTTTAAACCAGAGTAGCATCAAACCATGGCTGATTGTCCACCTGGTTGCCATGTGAACTTTAATATATTTCAATAATCTATTGCAAGGCGATAGGAGCTAAGGTGTACATCGAAAATAATTAACGGTTGATTTTTTTAGAGTCGATGTAAATTGATCACAAGATGAGGTCTGGACGAACGAAATAATTTCATTCTTTATTAGCGAATTCCACTCCGAAACTAGACAGAAAGGGTAGGGATGATTTCATTCTTGGTAAGTCTGGCCAAGAGATTATAAACTTGTAACCTCTTGGTCTGGCACAACTGAAAATTGGGCTGTTAATTTGATCGATTGGTTTCGCAAAGGAAGCGAGCAAGAATTTCAGTGATGGGAGGGGTGGGTGACGGTGGGTGAAAAATTACAAGAGATAGTATACTCTATTCCTGGTGTGTTCGGCGAGAATAGTTCATGTACTATGAGTCGATCTCGAAAGAAATGTTTCGGTTGGTAGTTTCTAGAGTAAATGAAAAAGCAGAGCTTTGCATATTCGCATTGTGCTTTGCATTGTACGGGAAAAATGTTTCGGGCCATTCTACGGGTAATAGTGACAAGCTCAACGAAAATCCACAATATAAAGCACTTGCATAATTACGAGGACTGATTACAAATGTTTCGTGTGATCAAGTACATATGTAACCTCGACAATGATCGTGACAGTTTCATACCTAGACTTGCTTCCCCTGTATAAATCACATAAGTACTGGGTACGAGATTTCTTTGTGAAGTTTCACGCGGGTTAGATTCATCAATAAGGTCCGCGCAGAGTCTGACTCACTTGTCTGTTCCGGGAAAAAGCAACCATTTAGAGTGATTGAGTATTTTTGCTCCAGTCTCTTCGCCGTAATCCTGACACTGCCTTAACAACTGAGTAATTATATTTTCCTTTTTCTTATTAGGATCTTCGATTTGAACATCGACCAAATGCGAACGAAATAGCGGGCTTTTGACATATTGTATTGACATAGAGTGGTGGTTCCAATTTTTTGCTCCCGACGTCCGGCTAGTTTTGGTCATTTTTTTTATCTCCACCGACTAAGTGCCACGTAGAAGCTAAATTCTAAGCAAAAAAAAACGTTTAGCGCCAGATTAAGGTTTTCACAATGTTACCTTCCAACACAATCACATAAAAAAAAGGGAATTACTAAGTGTGCGGCTCATCAAAGACTCAAAACAAAGAAGTATTGACAGTATTGAAAGTGTTATGTGGAATAAAAGCTTAATCTAGTTGAAAGGGCTTGCAAACTTCTAAAATATATTTTATTCGGTCGGGGTGATAATGTGGAAATGTTTTTAAATAAATTTAATAAAACCAGTATTTTAATTTACAAGACGAAAATTTCTTTTCGCATGAAGTAACCATTTATTAATTAGTTTCGTATTTTATTTTCAACAAAGTTAACTCAGCTGCATTCACTGATATCGTTAGATGCGAAGAACTAGTTTTTTTAATTCTAACGTTAAAAACCCGATTCCCTACCTCAATTATCTTCGTGGAAGCCTTAGTAAAGAAGGTTCCTGACAATGCCAAAAAAAAGGAAGAAAAAAAAACCCAGCTTAAATCGTAAATCATTTTGTGAACGAGTGAGTGCATGTTTTTCTTGTTCGGTAATTGGTCTTCTCCTTGCCACCTGCACAGTCCTATACTGTTCTTTGTTTACCTGTTCCCGTGTTTACCTTATCGTTTCTCAACTTATAGTTACCACCTTTCATCTTGAAGATCTCTAAGGAACTCTGAATCACGGTTCAGCTTTGTTTGTTCAGGATTCGCTTTGATGACTAATCCCTTTTTTTTTTTTCTATCAACCTTTTTTTTTTTTCAAATTTAATCATATGGAAAAAGGTAAACTGCAAATTTTTTAGTTAAAAAAAAAAACACCTGACCTCAGTAAGTGGAATTTTTTTTGTTATGTTAAACATTTATTTTAGTCAATGGTAAATTATATTAATTTGCCATGGGTTAGGCTATCTCCCCTGCAATCTTAAAACTCGAGAGAAGTGTTCCATTGTTTCAGTTCAGTACTGTTCTATTCTTTGATTGGCTTTCATCTTCAGATGATTGACAGTACTTTTTTTTTCATTTAGACTAGACTAGACATAGAAAAAGACAGCGGACGCTTATACAAATATATTCTTTTATTCACGTTGCGTCCGACAAATTAGCGCCTTCGGAGTACCAATTTCCATCCAGTAAGTTTTAAAAAATTGTTTTTGATCCAGCTTTTATGATCTTATTGTCTGAATTTTCTAAATCTGTGGTACGTATATAATTCTTTTAATCGAATAAAGTCGATAGACGTGCTAACTAATTTGAAAGAAAATTCAAGTTCAGAGCGAGAAATTCGTAATGAAGCTATTGCCTTTTCTATAAGAAAATGTTTTGAGTCAAAACTTTAATTTTTATCTCGTTGATGCTGACTTTGGAGTTTATCCTGAATTGAAGGTCAGATGGCACATATTTTTAGTTCTTCAGCGAAGCTTTTATGAACAGGACCTGCTGTTCTTAGAATAATCAAGTGAGAGGAGCCCCGTTTTATAATATTATTTAAGTGCTTCTTTGAAAAATTGGCCAAAATCAGCGATAGCTTAGATTCAACCATACGTAGAAAAATTAAATGATAAATCTAGAAGCTTTAATTGACCCTAATTACACACCACTAACAAGTCCGAGCTGTAATCGCATTCGTACCTGATTCCGGCCGACATTACGACGCTTTAATCTTTGAAGAAGTTATAATTCATTCATAACTGCTGTGACCCACAATGTTTCTTCATAAGATTTTTTTTCTCTATATTATTTCCTTTTATCTCTGCAGTACGTATTTTTTAAAAAAATGAATTTCCTATTTCCATTTTAATAGAAGTTGGCAGTCCATCAACACAGTGAAAGATTATGAGGCCTAGCTGGTTGTCGTGGATCTGTATTTTCTGTAAGTAACATAACAGCATCACGATCTGCGTTCAAATGTACATTTTTTATGGGACTCGACATATACACGATAGAACTAAAAGAAAAACATCTAACGTCGCGTGACTGAAGAAAGAAAATCCGACTTCGCGTGACTGAAAAAAACATCGCGTGACTGAAGAAACAAATAACTTCAATGGCTTGACCCAAACTAACAGCTAACATAGTGTGACGGAGTGAGTCATGTAATCCAGCGAGACCACGGCAAAAAAACCTCATATAATATCATGGAGAGAAAAAAAATCGTTGGGAGTAAAATCATGACACACCCCCCCCCCCCCCAACCCAAAAAAAACCTGTAATAAAGCGTAATCTTATCAAACACCTGATAATAGCAGGGCGACTAAAAGGACAACCCAACAGTACATGACACCTGTTATGAAAGGAACTGCTAATGCGTTTTAACATCCTCCCTAGGCCCTAACCCACAGGTTGTCGTTCGTGCCCCAGGGGTCGGGAATTTGCACCAGCGGATGACGCTTGTTTCCATTTTAAATGTAGAGGAGATTAAGGGCAAAGAGTCCACTTTCGAGAGCAAATGGCTCAAAAAAAGTTTTTACTTCGTAGAATGATGCTTACAAGTGACAAAACCAACACCAGTGAAAAAAATTAATGCGTGACTTTGCTATATTGTGTTGAAAAATAAATCATATAAATTGAAAAAACATAAATAAAAATTGTGCTTGATTGGTGCATTTGGACGGAACAAATATTCAAGTTACACGGGAAAATATTGAAATTTCGAATGGATGAATCCGTGACCGTAGAATCCCCACATGACTGACCATTAGAGGCGGCTACGAAGTCTATCGCGTCGAACATCCCAGTGTTTTCCTTTTCCAGGGTTTGTAGCAGAGAGCAGGACATTGGTGTGTGAGTCATACGATCACAAATGCAAAACGCTCCACTCCGCTTCGTTGAAAAACTCAACGTGTTCGTCGCTACAGCAGTGTGATGAGACTTGGCCTGGGTCGATTCCCGCGTGTTATGCATTGTTAGCTCAGAACAAAGAGGGAGGACTCAGTGTCCTGAGGAAGGGATGTACATCTCAGATTGGTAAAGAATGTACTCGATCATACGCGTGTAATGGACAACGGAAGCGTCTTCGTAACAAACTACAACCCCTTTACTACTGCTGCTGCATTGAAGACAATTGCAACCGTGATGTCATCATGTTTCTAAAAGAAGAGAAGGAGGAAATTTATACGATGGATGGTAGGAAATCTTTGATACGTTTGTTCTTTTTTTCTCATAAAAAGGCTTAAAGATTTCAAAGAGCTTCTCCAACCTCAGATCATGTATTAGGGTTGAAGAAAGACAACCTCACGCATTGGGGAGATCAGAAGAAACCACGGGTTGGGAGGTTTGAAAAAAATTTAGGCAGAGATTAAAAGTTATTGAGAAAGATAAATAATGAAAAATCGAATTTAAAATGCGATCTCCATTACAAAAAATTCTCTTTTGGTGAGATTAAAACCTTTAAAGTGAGGAAGAAGGCTTGATTAGATCCGCAGTACTGTTGTGACCCTTGCACACACAGTAGCGTAGATGAAGATTACTACTATCATGATTGTCACCGATTAAATTCTGGGCTTCAATATTAAACCCATCACATATTTTATCGTAGGATTCTGATCAAATCTTGTGCGCATTGTTGTAAATAATTTTTTGTTCACTTCCTGGAGAGAAAGTAGAATATTCTCGTTAAGGTACTTTTCTCCTTGTGCCGTTCTCTACCGAAGTCACCGAAGTCTCCGAAGTCTGTACTTATCCGACAAAACTTCTCGGAGAGACAAACAAAACTACAGCAAGATCAGTAGCTGGTTTGATACCCATTTATTTTTTTATCAAAAAAAATTTCAAATCAAAATGATCAATCCACAGCAGTCTCTGGGCGTACTCAGCTCTTCAGGGCATTTCAGCGAAAAACTCAAAATATTTGTCAGCAAATTCTAGTCAGATCTGCCCTTGAGACATTATTAACTTTGAAGAGTGCAACGTGCACGTCACAAATGGGACTAATCGAGGTGATGTTTGCTTTTGCTTTTGCTTTTTAGACATCACAAAGGCTCTCATGAATTTAAAATGGTTGATCTGGGCTCATCTTGTGACAATAACTATAATTCTATTACTGATTGCGTTCGTATCACTGGGTCTGATATTGATGCTAAGCAAACGGCACAGAAAAACCGCAAGGCATGGGAGACATTCCTGTCCAGTGCGGGTCTGCGATAAAGGTAAGGTTATTCTTTTCTCAGGAGACCATTCCCCTCGTATGAAAAAAAAAACTCTGTTCCTTTACATAGTTGCAATGAAAATTATCATTAAAGTCTACTTTCAAGTTCGTCTTGCTTCGTTTGGGTTTTCTTGTAGGAACAACAGTCTATTCGACAAGCATCTTTTTTTCATGTAAGTTTATAAGCCAAGCTCCGATTTCGATTACTTTATCCAGGTTCTTTCCGTCCATGTATGTCAAATGAGGGATAGCCACACGTGCAAGCTGCAAATGGGTTATTTCAATTGTTACGTATCAATTCCTTTGTAGGAAGTCATCATCACCATAACTCATCTCAGTGGAAGAAACAGGACTTCCAACTGATCATGTGTCTCGTGCGAAGTTCGTTTGGTGAAATATGGCAGGCCAGGTTACATGGTTCCAATCGAGTAGTCCGCATTCGATTAACAGCAGGCTCAGACGATGTCTTTGTGTACGACAAACACGTTTTGTTTAAAAAAACAAACGTCGACACAACAAGGGTAGTATGACAAGAGATTTTATAAGTTTAACTGTGTACCTATGAAATGAAGAAGATATTCGGAAGTAATATCCCACTCATTTAAGTTAATATTTATGATATAATTATTGTTGCATTCAAAAAATAGAACCTGAGCGTGTATAAGACCATAAAGAGATTAGGAAATTTCAGACTATACATCTCTTACGTATCATCTGCATCAGATATTGGGTTATCATGTCGAGTTCAAAGTCTGCCTAGTTTCCAAACCCCTCTTTCGTGTTGTGTTCTCAAACTTTTGCAAACTTAAAGAGAATTGTCTTCTTTTGCAGATTGTTTAAAACGTATTATAAAACAATTATTGAATTCGATATTCGCATGATATCATGAATTATCAAACCGTGTGTCTGTGTTATCTGCCTCAGCCTTCAGCTTCTTAACTCAAATTCGGGACAAAACAGAATTGGAATGTAAGTTGGTTCCCTCTTTTTTATTTGTCGATTTTTCTGCCTTGTAATAACGGAAATATAAACATCAATTTGAACTTGAATTCTAAGCAGCATGGAAGTCTTCATGTAATCGGCACAGACAGATAAATAATGTGTACATAATTTAATGATAAAGTGTAACTTATTAAATCATAACATTTTACAGGTATAGATTATTGCGTTGTTTCCTAATGTAGTCATGAAAATAATATAATTACATGCATGAAAAGTATTAACATGTTAAATTAATGTACATAATCTACCAATAATTTATAATTAAACTGATGTATCCATGTAAAAATTAAGGGTTTTGTAATAAAACCAAAGTCCACTGCAACACTGTTCAATTGTGTATCCTTTCTATCTTCGTTGTAATATCAATTATCAATTTGACATAACAGAAAAAAAAATTCAGTTATGAGAGAAGTGCTCACATCCCATGTTATATTTTGCAAAGGAGAAGCCTAAGAGACCATTATTTATCGTCGAAGGGGGGGAGGGGGAGTTGGAAGATTTCGGAGGAGGGGGAGGTTTTGACTGGTCCCTAAACTTAAGTGTTACTGACGACAATTTCAAAATCTGAATAGGACAGAATGCGTCATAAAAATGTGCTAAATAGAAATGCGTTTAAAATCTTCATCGTTCTGCTTTTTGAATATATGACTTTCCAGTGATATGGATGAGTCTTTCCAAGCGAAATGATCACATCCGAGCTCTTGTTCTTCGGCTCTTTTGTTCCGTGATAGAGTCTCAGGTGTCCCATTCTGTCGCCGCAGTTTCGACGTCATGATTCGTAGCCAACTGTTTCTTAGGTATCTGTTGTCTTCACTAGAACTATCTCGGCGGTTTGGCCTGTAACAGCATGCACAACTAGAAACAACTTGTAGAACTGTTCCCATTTTTAGTGGTTAGCAGCTCGGTGAGGTTGTACCGAGAGGTCTTCACAGCTCGCAAGGCCTGAGCTCAAGCCCTACGGTTTAAAGTCGGTTTCATTCTTTACAAAGATGTAAATTATAAAATGGAAATTTGAACTCATAACTTACACCAAAATAAGTGGACATTCACTTGAAAGAACGGGAGAAAAAATGTTAGAATACTCTACCGTGCAGATGAGTAATTGTCAGAGTTTCATTCAGCCAACTAAGATTTTTCCTCGACACAAGAAAGAGCTCACCTTTAGCCTGGACTGTTACCCAATATTAAGATTTCTCTGTTCCAAAATGTGAACGTACGTTCTGTCTAAAGAAAATTTTTTTTAGTTCCGTCAGATTATTCTTGGGAGAAGAAGGATCACGTTCAGTAAGCCATGTTCGATATCCGTAAACGCGAAAAAAAACCCTGCTTATCTTCCTGGTTTCAGTGTTAATTTAGAAAAGGCACACAAAGTTTCCTTTCGTTCTTTGGCCTGTTTCAAAAAGCTTTTTCTTTCTTTCAATAATTGTTTACCATAAACGTAGTTTAGTTGAGTGGCGTTCAAAAGGTCGAGTCAAGTTAGAAAATTTATCATCAGCCTCCAGTTCGCGTGTTGGACTCTTGTTTCTCTAACCCTTTACACCCCATGAGTGACCAAGAGAGAATTTCTCCTTACAATATCAATACAGTATCAAGCATAGAAGTGATGAGAATAAAGTAAAATATCAATTAAGGAATAATCAGTTGATTCAATACCAAATTCTCCAAACTGACATCGCAAGAATTATATGTTAGACAGTAAAGAGAATTACTAATGAGATCTTGGGAGTTGAGAGGTTAATTTGCTGGCGTTCATATAATGACATGTTTGACAAGGGATCTTACTGATCATGAATATCCCTGTTCAAATTTTTGTTCAGATGTAAGTTTGCGACCTAATTAACGAACCTTGGGCAATTTCACAAGCTTGTTTTATGGACTTTTTCTATTTAATCAAAGTGTACTGTTTAATTCCTTTATTCGGGCGGCAGAGTGGCTTCGGTTCCCGTCTCACAATAGCCCCGACATTGCAATTTCTATGCGGTTAGTGACTTACGGCAAATTATTCTATGGCACGTGTTTATATGGTTAAATAAGCAACAGAATTATGCACATGTTTAATTTCCGGATTGAAAAGCACTCGCCAGACAGATTCAACCCGATAGTTTGTGAATAATAATTTGGTTGTGTCACTTGGGGTACTGCCTAAAAGAGTAATGCAAATTATTATAAATTATCGTCGCTTCATTTATCGTTCCATGCGTTGGTCAACTTGAAAATTGGGTAGTCTCGAGTGCCTAATTTTTTGATTATCATGAGAACAAACAGTATTGGATATGACGAATAAAGTTTCCACAAACATTTCACTTCACGATTGGTGATCTGAAAAATTAAGGATGTGCTGCACTAAATATCATTGAGAAAGTTTCATACTATAAGCCTTGATTCGAATCTTTTACATTCCTTCTAAAGCTCCATAAATTTCTCTCATGCAGTTTCGAAAGTCGAGTCAATAATTATTTCCATCAACTCGGCAAAATTACAAAAACACGATCAACCATCGTTATTTTCTCCTCTCTCTGTTTTCGTAAGCTATTCTGAAAACAAAAGCCGCTAAAATGTAGAGAATCCACCTAGCATTTGCATGGGTGGGAATAATTTCGATTCCCCAACTTCGACTGTTTGTTTATTTTACTGCGTCATAGTCTATTCGCTAAGATGAATTTGAATTTTACTCACCTGGTGTTTATGGTCCCTCACTTCTGACAGAACCGCTTTTTCCTGTCAGTGATAACCGTTAAACTATAAAACTTTCTAGGATGCCGAGCTCGACTTTCACATGCTTCGACTGTTACGGCAGTTTCTGCATTTAGAAGAGCTCCAAAGCTGACGTGAACTTATTCATGCATGCTACGGCTTCCGGTCGATGATTTCTGGGAACTTAAAATTTCAATTATCAGCCGCACTCTGTTCAAGACGAACACGACTTCTCATTAAAATACTTTAGGTATTCAAACGGAAAAAAATTTTTTGACAGGTTCACAGCTAACGATCATCACATCACAAAAACGTGCACTGAGAAAATTTCTCGAAACCCTCTGAATGAAAATAAAAGACAACATATTCTGACATGTCCAGTGATATTGTTTATCATCTGAGGAAGTTAATCTATCTATAACATTATAATTCAGTACAAAATTTCTCTTGGATGTGAAGCATTTCTGAGGCGGTCCCTGCATTCGAACTTTTATTCTCTTAAATGAAAATCGGTGTTCATTAAGTCCTTAAATAAACAATGACTCCAAGCACTTTTACACACGAGGCCAGTTTAAGTTTGAACCTGTCTAAAGTGTACAATTAGATCACGTCATAGCAGGTTGAAGTTACCTGGAGAGCGCATAAACCAGGCAGGTGGCGAAAAAATGAATGCTTACTTTCAAATAAACTCTCCACTTCTTATAACGGAGAAAATATACCAAAGCCTTAGCAAATGTGACTAAACTAAGCGCTGTGTTTCTCGTGCTGCAATTCGATATTTAGCACAACATGAATTATGAATGCACAATTATTTGACGTTAAAAGCAAAGAAAAAAATAACTTTGGTATAAGGAGCATTGCATATGAATGATTTTCAAGGGCGCGTCACTTATGTTTCAATGAACAAGGTTTTTCTCAGTCTTGGACTGAGCCAAGTCAAATCCACAAAACTTCCATTTTGAGTTCCCGCCTGATTCTCCAGCTTTGAACAAGATGGGCAAACTGGAAAGCAACCTCTCCACCACGACTTTTATTTTTTCGTGAAACTGTCTCGACAAGTAGTCCCTTATCTCTCCACTCGTGGCACCAGCGGGGCACAGCTGAAGATACGAAGAAATGATTACAACGAGTACAAGCTCCTTTCCAGAGAGGCGCACTACAGAGGGTCCAAAATACATGGGGCTGTAACTCGCAAGTCCAGATGAGGCCCAAGCTTGGTAATAAGACATGTAACTCTGCTGATAAGCTGTCAGATCAGTTGGGACCTGCTCGTTAACTTCCTTTTCTCGCTCATTCAAAGAGCTATCAACAGTAACTTCTTTGCAAGCATCTTCGTTCTCAAACTGCTTGTTTACTTGTTCATCGTTTCCACTCAAACAACCTTGTGCATCTATCTCTTTATAATCATCGTCGCTGTCTTCACCCATATCGTCAATCACTTCGAACTGTTCATCATCAATCTGCACAAACCGGCCGGAACCTTCCTCTTCGTCGTCCTCTTCCTGTGTTTCATTCTTCGCCCCTATCGCTTTTTGCCCTCCTACTTTTTTCTCTACATCTACTGAAGAGTTCCCTGGCTCCTCTCCTTCATGTGATGTCTCTCCTCTCACAACCACCCTCCCGCTTTCTCTCAGCAAGTCTTCTTTGTTCACCAATACTTCTCCATCGACGTGCTCCTCTTTCACTACAACTAGCGTCTCTCCCTCCCCTCGCCTTTCCCCTTCTTCTTCCGGGTTTTCCTGATTTGAAAAATTTGCTTCTCCAATGCACACAATTTCGCCCTCTTTTACGTTATCCTCCACTTTATCCTCTGTAACATCCAGTTCTTTGACTCCTTTATTAGATAATGTTGCCACCTCTGTCACTGTGTCGTCCAATTTATCTCGAATACTTGCTTCTGCAATCTTTTCAACTTTTGATGTTCTATCATCCTCCATCCTTTCCCTTTTTCCTTCTCCGTGTGTATCACAGTAGTTTGTTTCCACTCCATTTATTGCTGCGTGACTACCACTACTCAACTCCACAACAACTTCTAGGTCCTTCAATGGGTCACCGGTAGCTACCTACATAACAAAGCAGAGTACAACGAAATTAGTGGAGGTGCGCTTTTTGGTTGAGAATTGAAACTAAAGTCAAAATCAAAGTTATCGCAATTGTTAAATTAGAACAAAAAAATATCACAAGGAGGCAACGAGAACACAAAGTAAATACATGGATATTGTCTAAAGCGCGGGAAAATGGAGGTTTCCATGTCGCGGGTCGCGGTCATTTTGAATCTGATTGGTTGAGAGGGTGGCACGAGTTTGACCAATCACACAGCAAAGTTAAGTAAAACTAAAGAAATAAAGGGGACAAGTTTCAAAAGAAACTGTGGTGCTGCGTCGGTGGGAGAGTATAGCAGGTAATTTAGTGTTAACGACTGAGTTGAAAACGTAAATTGGCCACCGTAAAGGGCAAAAAGGCTGAAGTTTCGAACGTTAGCCCTTCGTCAGAGCGATAGAAACCCAGCGATGGATGTTGTGAACAGCAAGGACAAAAGCTAAAAATTTCTTATCCCGTGAAGATTTCCCTTAATTGTTATGGAGCTGATTTCAAGGAAAACGGGTGTAGATGTGCAAAAGAGTACAATCAAAGCACTCTTCACAGCCTTTATACCCACCAATTCACCGCTGATTAGATCTCCCTGTTTGATGTTCTGTTTTATGTGCTCCAAAGCTTTTTGTAAGCACAGGATCTGTAAGTTAAAAGGTGAACAGTATGTTAAATGAATAATACGTCCAGCTAAAAAACAATTTCTGTCACATCTCACTCTTGGGGGAAGTCTCTTCAACAATATCCCTTTACATACAAATGAGGAAATTACCGCCTTAATAACACAATCACCACCTTAAATCGAGGGAATTTCTCTCGAGTGTTAGCAGATACAGTAACCCAAACTCCAAGTTGAAATCCGTTTTAATATTTAACAGTCTCACAACTACGAATCTTTTCTGTAGTGGATTAATTGTTTTGGTTTTTTACCGCATTTTAAAAAGTCGTTCATCCTAATATATCTACTTTTACTCTTGACGGTAGCCAATCTACGTTTTCAACTCAGTTGTTAACACTAAATTACATCCTAATATATGGTCCACTCAGTTCGGTTGCTAATTGCAAATGGCTGAATTTGCCTAAATCTCGTGAGACAAAACCTGTCCTTCCAGAACTGTTCAGCATATAATTTATCAAGTACAATTTTAATGCACTGTCAAACAGACAGGTAAAGAGAGCAAGAAAAAAACAACAGCCAGGGGATATAATTATTGTTTGAATATACCACCACGTTCTCAGTCAACAAAGAAATGTCTTGGGTCAGTTGGAAGAAATAGCATACGCTAGAGCTGAAGTTCTGTACCTCGTAATCTTTCTCTTTTAACCTTTTATCATACTGTTGTCTGGTCATGTCCACTTGATACTGATAGCTCTGCATGGACCACATTAGGCTGGTGTTCTGCTCGGCAATCGCCTTCAAGCTTTCAACCTGAGTGCGTAGCTTCGCATTTTCTAGCTTTAGAGCGTCAATGGAATCTGCGTCCGATTCTACACCTGAAGGAAATCACATGTTCAACTTAAGGATTTAGGAAAAATATATGACACTCACGCTTGTATGATGTAAATTACATTTTTGTCTCTTAACTTTGGAATGAGGAAATGACACGAAATCTTTAGAAGAGAAATAAATATTTAGAATATTTGTAAGTTTTAATAACAAGCAATGCAACCACTTTAGTGGGGCAGCTCAGTAAATTCTTAGTAAACAATTACCAATTGTATATAAGGTTGACAAAATTTCACATCTGAAGAAAAAAAGCATTGAATCTATAATTTTCAGGGTGCCACAAACTGTGTTTGGTCATTCACCCTACAATAATGTAATGGAATATCAACATGTAACAAATTAATTTTCAGAATGATATAATAGGTAAATAATTTGAAAGGCAAAGGCTTAGTCCACAGAAAATGTGGAAACTATCACTAGGAAGGTAAACCCAGACATCTCATTGGCTCAGGTTATGATTAAGAGGTCTGTGGCACATTTGCTCTAACCCTTTAACTCCCAGATCAAATTTTTAATTCTCGTTACTGTCAACCATACAATTCTTATAATGTTAGTTTGGAGAATTTAGTACTGGATCAACTAATTATCCCAAATTGATATTTTTCTTTATTCTCATCACTTATCTGGTTGATATTGTATTGATATTGTAAGGAGAAATTCTGTCTTGGTCACTTATAGGAGTTAAAGGGTTGATATAGTGTCAAGAGACACTTACAAACACAGTGAATAGGAAATATATAATGAAACATCTGAACCACAAGAATTCCCCTGCATTTTCACCAAATTTAACAGTTTAACTTGATTTGAATGAGGAATTTGTCATATATAGAGATTAATTAAGAATCCTATCAATCAATTATGCAGACTGAATCGTTAATTATTCATAAAGTTTGAAGGTTTGAATTGACTGGCTGACATGTCAAGAAAAAAGCCTTTGAGAAATTACCATAGACAGGGTAATTAGTAGAGATGCATATCTTGATATGATGTTAAAGAAGAAACCAACAATAAATTGCGACTTAACCATTTACCTACCTCTCAAATCCAATCTTGATATATTTCCCTCCTCTTTTTCAGAGTAAAAATGAGATGTAAGATAAGTGCATGTAGATCAAGAAAACCCTACTTGACCAGAGAAGAAGTTAGAATTTGCAAAGTCAATATCTTGGCAATGGAGCTGTGCGCTATTACCTGAAGCATCACTGCAAAGTTTCTTGGCAGCTGCTGGTGCCAAACTTTCATCCTCTTCTTGCCTCTGTTCTTGAGCCACTTGAAGTGCTGGCTGTTCAATAAGCCCACCAAGGTTTGATGCTTCATCATCCAAATCCATACCTACCTCCTCACGATTTTGTATCTCAGCCTCTTGGGCTGATTTAATTTCCTGAAAATGGCACACAATGAGATCAGTGCAAGTTGCCATTTACCTACCTTTGGGTTCAAATTCACCATGGTTGCCCAATGCCTGACCTGCAAAGCACTTCCTACATCCACAATTCCATATGTGAGACTTGCACATGGAACTGCTAGTTTTGTGGTAGCTGCGACTGGCCTTGTATCAATAAGAGACATCACTAATTTTAATTGTTACTTACATTTCTGATAACAGCAAACCACTGAGAGATAGTTTTTCTTTGTCCCTTTGTAAACTGGTCCCATGCCTTTTGTTTAGTTGCTGCATCAAAGACTTTCCATACAGCATCACCTGAACAAAATACAAGTGTTGAAGTTGTTGGGTAAACCATTCACTGTTTCACAACAATTTCAAAACTGCCCTGCCACAACTCACTCATGCCACTTGTATCGCACAGTGAATTTACACAACAGCAAACCTGACCATTCAATTTTTAAAAACCAGATTAACAGCACTTGCTTGACAAGAAACTCCTTACATGACTCTTAAAAATGAGATCTGCATATTTTGTTGAAACTCCGGTAATTGTCAGGTGCCAAAGTCTTTTTCTGAAATACATGTACCCTCACTCTTACAATAAGACCTCAAGATCAACTAAAACTTACATTATGGTTAGCAGTTTGAATCCAGGAGTAACATTTTATCAAGTAGTCTGATCATCCAGGTGAGAGTAGTCCTGAGAATGAGATTGTTGTTCATAGTAGTTAATGAAGTTTCAACAACCATAGCAGTGGTCATCAATAAGGTTGTGACAATGTCCGTCACTTCTACTGACAACTCTCCTTCTCCAAACTACTATCACCTCAACACTTAGACTAAAGTATAGAGTAAACTACAACTTACATTGCTGCTTGATTTCATTGGTCCTCTCTGCTGCCTCTCTCTTTTGATTTTCCACTTGTTGCTCATGCTCTTTTCGTTTGTTGATCAGTCGTTTGACAAGGCCATTGACAGTGCTAAGCATTGTGTGGAAAACATTGACTGTAGAACGGTTACATTCACCTTTTACTAACCAGTGAGTCATCATCTCCAAAGAATTCACCACAGATTTGTCATGACGAATCAGATCCAATAACTGGAAAGCTTTTGTACGGCTATAAATCAGGTCTGGGTCATCTTCCCCAACATGTTGATAGGGCTTTTTTTGGTGTTCAATGACAGTGCTGGTGGTTTTAACATCTATCTCATCTCTTGTTACTTTGAAGTAGTTCATGCGAATGCGACTGACCTTTGTTTTGGTGTCACTTCCATCTCCAATAACCAACAAGTAACCATTAAGTTTGACAGCCATATCAACATCACCAAGTTGTGAGAATGTCAGATGGCAATGTCTAACATTGGTATTATTCTTCATAGTTTTAAGACTTAGGTTCTCTATAGGTCCAAACACACCAAAAATCTCTCTAATAATAAACTCGTCAGCCATTCCTGGGAGGCTGCGAATAAATATTGAACGACATCCAGGTTCCTTATCATTTAGTGGTAATACATCCAAGTCATCTTCAGGAGGTACCAGGTAGCAGTTTGGATGTAACACTGCATTCAGAGGAACAGTGAATTCATCTCTCCTCCCATATTTCATTTCATTTGGATTCAGTCTAATTGGTCCTCTGCTGTGTTGAAATTGATCATGATCCTCTGTTCGAAGCTTAAAGAGCTCTGGTTGCAAGTTAGGTTTTGAAACATCATAACCTCTTCTACTGACCTCAGCTTTTCCAATACTTGCATCCTGTCTAAGAAAATCCCTCTTTGATAATACAAAGTCTGGGAGAATTTCATGATCAATCAGCCCCCCTATCCTTCCACAATCCTCACTGAGGTATTCTCTTTTATCAATATTCTGATCATGATGGCGTTTTCTGAAGCTCCTGTTATCATAGTTATCAAACCTTGATTTGTCCCTTTCATTGTAAGTATCAGAGATGTGTCTTCTATCCTCTGCATTTGCATGTACATATTGCTGTTGATTACTGTGCTGTTGCAATTGGGCTTGAACCATTTGTAACCCTTGCAACTGATGAGAAAACTGTTGAGGGTTCCCCGAGAGATTTCCAAGTGCAGGGATCAGATTCAATCCAACATTGGGTGGCCATCCAGCCATGTTTAGTATCCTATAATGCTAGCCGGTAAGAACCTAAGGTAAATATTAATATTGAAGTGATTCCAATGAAAACTACTCCAATTGCTTAGTTCAGAAAAAGATTCAATGTAACACATTCCATATTTCCTTGGATTTTAACGAGGCCAAGCAATACATGCAAAATTTATGTAAAATCCAAGGTGCCATTTCCTCAACAAATTGTATGGGCTCAAGAACTGAGAGATTAGCTTTTCGCAAGTTTTTTTTTTTTAATTCAAAAATAATTTCTGAATCCTGCGGAAAGCAACCAGAAAATAATAGAAAAAATACGCCTTTAGAGCTTTACCGTATTTCAAAACACAAGGAAAGCACCGCGAACTCTGCTGGTCTATGCAACTGTTCTCCTCTCGTTTGTTTGATTTCTTTTCTCCCGGGCCAGCCAGTCAAAGTATCTTATGGTACACACTAGGGTGGCCGGGGGAAGTGTTTGTGTTACTGAGAACTGGATGAGAGAAGACCTCTCAGATTTAGTTTTAAACGAATCAAACACTTGGAAAATAAAATTTTTCTCAAAATTTCTTTCAAAATTTTGTAAAGCTTTTTAGTTTAGGCGAGTCTGAAAATAGTCTTCACCTGTATTTTTCTCCCCAACTCCTCTCTCCCAGATCACAGATACGAATGGCATGACAATGACAATAGAGGCTATTGACTGAGCGTCCAGGCCTTCTATCTTAATAAAAACATAGCGCCTGTTGGAAGTCGTACTTTCCACGTAGTTCATCAGGACACGCTCAGCTGATATTATCACGACACCAATACTACTGCAAAATGGCTGCTCCAACTCGGTCCAGAGGAGGTACGTCATAAGAAAGAAACAACAGGCAAAATTGCAGCGTTGAGGGTTGAAACGATTTTTTTACTCTTTCAAAATTTATTTACGTATCGATTCGATTGAGCGCTGTAAAAACGTCAAAGTCATAATTTCGGTCAAGTGTTGGAAAGATATTGGATGAAATAAACAAGCAGTAATATAGTTTATCAAGTGTTCATCTATGTTACGCAAAAAAGTTAATAACACTTCCATATCAGTAATATTGCTGAATTACAACATCATATGTGTTAAAATGCATAAACTCGCTTACAACAGAGCGAAGGGCCCGGGGGTAGTTTTCGAAGCGCTTTTTAATCCCAGCTTAGCTGTTGTGACTAAGTTTAAGTGTCGAACGATATTTACTAAGCATTTTAAGAAGTTTTTCGGGTTTTTAGAAATGCAGCCCTGCTATTGATGATGATGATGATGATATGGTTGTGTGTCATATGTAGATTGAAGTATGTTTGGTTTAGTAGAGAGCAGTCATGTCTACATACTTTTAGCTATTAGGTGGGTAGCCAGCTGTTATTTTTTTGTCACTAATGAATTGTTTCTTTACATTATTGCCAGTTGTTGAATTAAAATGTGCAGTGCAGTGTTATGCCTGGGGTAAGATTGGTTTAAACAGCACAGTTGCACAGCTTGCTCTGAATAGTCCCTCATTTCATCTTGAAGAGGATAAACCATATTCTGAGGTATCCTGTGGTAAATTTCTGTATTGATATCTGTTAATCAATTGAGATATACATCAGATGACCTTTAAAAACCTCCTCAAAAAAGTTTAGAGTGTATTATTGTTGAAATTAATTTTTACCTGCTTACATAAATTAGAGGGAAATGTCTTTTAACTTTGTTTTTTCAAACATATTTGATTTTTTCTTGTTACACACTCAAATAACAAAGACATTTTTTCAACATTGCACAGAGGAAAATCTAATAGAATGTAATGGACTGTAATGAAATTACTAGTGCTAAACACAAATGAAACTACAAGTTTCTTTACCTTCTTTAATTTTTTTTCTAATTCTGAATAATTTTCTTTATAGTTTTGGATGGGAACACATCCAAATGGACCATCAAAAGTGTTAAAGGAAGGAAAGGAATCACTGTTATCTGATTGGATAGAGTCAAACAAAGATGTCTTAGGAAACAAAGTTAGGGAGATATTTGGTGGCAAATTACCCTTCTTGTTCAAAGTACTATCCGTTAACAAGGCTTTATCAATTCAAGCTCACCCAAACAAACCTCATGCAGAATTGCTTCATGACAAAAGGCCAGATGTATATAAGGATCCTAATCACAAACCAGAGATGGCCATCGGTAAGGAGCACTATAAGTATTTTTCAGTAAGTGGTTTGAACCTAGGAGGTTGGAATAGTTTGTTAATATGTGCTCTGATCATCTGCACAAAATCAGTCTTGAAAAGAACGGTACGTTTCTACAGCAGTGATCAACATTTTGACAATCTACAGGAAGTCATCATCAGAGTCGGGTGACTTTTAGTCAGCTTGTGAAACTGTCAAGTCACTGTCATTGACAACAGTTTTTTTGAGGACTACTCACCCCTAGGATCAGACTACTTGATCATTAATTACTGTTAATGGTTATCGTAGACTGATGTAGAGTTTGGCACTAAAAGAAGACAGACTCTAGAGTGACTAGTCCATATTTTATCATGTATACCAAATGAGTGTATTTTTAATTTAACAATATCCTTAAATTATAAGTCATCTTATTGATATACCATCTAACCCAGCATTCCCTCAAATTTATTACCAATAGCACTGACACCATTTGAAGGCTTGTGTGGTTTTCGTCCTCTGGATGAGATCCAGAAGTTTGTAAAGACCATACCTGAACTTGCTGCTGTCATTGGACAGGAAGCTACCACTGCTTTAGTCACTGGCTCAGGTTTGTGTGACTTGCAGCATGATGTATGTTCCTTACAGCTATGAGTATATAAAACATGGTTCTTAAAGGTCACAAAAAACCAGAAAGGTTGTGGAAATTGATTGTGGGTCATATAGCAACTAATTTATTGTGGAAACTCAAACAAGAAAATGACTACTATAGTGTGATTTCCTCATCGTTTTTTCTGCAGACCCTCATGCACTAAAGAAAGCTTTCACCGCCCTCATGACAAGGAGCCAAGATGCTGTAAGTGAGCAGCTAGGTAAACTATTGTTAAGACTTCAGGAGAAGAAAACCTCAGGCCATGACATCTCCAACCAGTGCAGCGAGCTACTATTCAGATTGAACAGCCAGTTTCCTGGAGATGTTGGTTGTTTTTGCATTTATTTCCTTAATCACATTGTTCTTCAACCTGGGCAAGCAATGTTCCTTGGTCCCAACCTGCCTCATGCATATCTAGCTGGTGGTAACTAATCTACTTTTTTTTCTTTTAATAAAGACATTTTTTAAAGAAGTAGTTTTGTTTTGACTCTATTTATTACCAAGCGTAAATTTTACCATCTTCCTCTGTCACAATGTCTGGTTATGATTAGGGTCTCAACAGATCATATACATGTACATGTAGTCTTGTCTTCTGATAAATAATTTATTTATTATTATTGGTCAAGATTCTTAAATTATGTTTGTTTGTTTGTTTACTTATTTGTTTGACACTGCTCCTGAATGGAAACACTTTTTTTATTTTGTTCTTTTGTTCAGAATTTATTTTGTCTTCGATCAATTTGCTTGCATTTATTTCTTGAATCACTTACTTCCTCACTGAATGGTGGCTTGTTCATTAATTCAACTCTTTCACCCCTTCTTCCCTGTCTGCGCCTCTCTATTTCCAAAACAACTCGCAATCCAAAATTTATCATTTATAACCGCACATGTACACAATTATCACAACAATACATTTTTATGTTAATTTTTTTTCTTAATTGATAATCAATGTGTTTGACTTTTCAGACTGTATGGAGTGTATGGCATGCAGTGATAATGTTGTACGAGCTGGACTGACACCAAAGTTTAAGGATGTTGAGACACTCTGTGAGATGTTAGAGTACAATTGTGGTTCTAAGGAAGAGAACATTTTCCCATGTCGTCAAGATCCAAGTGATTCGCATGTCACAATCTATGATCCTCCTGTCTCAGACTTTACTGTTTCAAGAATTAAGGTACATTTACCACTGTCAATAGCATAATTTTGTAAATGAGTGAAAAAAATGTCATCAGAACTTCCACATTACCACTGGCCAGTTTAAGTTAACCTTAAGTAGCTATTGACCAGATGGTTTTTTTTTCCAAACCATTTGTCCACAGAATTTGTGAAGTACCAGTAATTTATTCCTTTGCTAAACTCTTATTGTGTAATGGTGTTATTTTTAGATACCAGCAAGTTGTCCTTCATACAAGTTCAAAGCACTAAGTGGACCTAGTATTTGTGTGGTGATATCTGGTTCTGGTGCTGTAGAAGATACTGCTTCAAAGATTTGCTTGAATCGAGGAACTGTACTTTTTATTCCTGCAAACACCACCTTTGATGTAACATGTAAAGAAGAAGACATGGAAATATACCGTGCTTATTGCGTGTTGTAATATCAAAAATCTAACATTCAGTCCAGTTGAATTGATTTTCAATTTTGTCAGGTTATAGAATTCCAAGGGACAGAATATTTCACAAAGACCTTTAGGGAGTTTTGGCATATTCGTTAGGTATTGAGCATCATCATTTTTCTTTCTTTTCTTTTTAATTATTTAAAAAACATCATGAAAATGTATGCTAGTGGGTTTAAAGAAAATTTAGACCACTCAAGGAAGCGGGAAAATATAAAATTTTTGTTTATTTTTCTATTGAGATTTAACCTTAATGGTAAACAGTCTTGTGTAAACTGAGACAAAAACAAGCTCTGAATAGAACAAAAAATTATTAATGAGTAAAAAAAAATGCATTTATGACTCTGAAACAGGTAATATTGAAGAAATGTAAAATGGTTTCCATGTTTACATAGCCTGATGTAAACACGCGGGAGGTTGGGAGAACATGAGATAAGTGTAGGAAACCATGATGCGAAGCAGAGTGGTTTCCAGCTTATCAAGTGTTCTCCCAACCTCCCAAGTGTTTAAATCAGACTATGTAAACATGGAAACCATTTTACATTTCTTTTATAAAATAACTAATGAAAGAGGAACGAAAACCGTGTTTACATATGCTCATGTAAAATGGTTTTATGGCCAATCAGAGTGCGCTTACTATTTGAATTATTTTATAATGGTAGTTTCTGAAATAAGTCAGAGTTAATCATTATTACAGCTTCTATAACTCATTTTATTTGAATTGAGTGTAGAGAGTATCTTGATTTTCCGAAAGGACTTAATAACTGTATGGATGGGGTGGATTGGAATTTTGCCAATAATTCATTTTAGAAATAATTTTGTAGATGAATGGTTAAGTATTTTCTATGGAAACAATTGAGTGTTGTGTTGTGATGTCCTTTCTTTCAAGTGAAAAGTAATTAATTTAAGGCTTGTATTTTGAATAAAATATAATGCTAGAGAAGTTTTTGACATTTTTGTGACCCAGAAAGTTAAAAAAAGGTATGTTTTATTTCCTGCAAATTGTTCAGTTTTGTAAAAAAAAAACAAAAAAAAGTCCCAAATTGGTCATGTACGCATAGTAGGCCTATACTAATGCAAGGGGAACAACCCGGCCAAAAAAAGTTGTGGTTATTGGTTTGTAAAGAATATTTTTAAACAGCAAAGACAAGAACAATAACGTTAATTTTGTGTCATTTTCCCTGTTTGTGATTTCTCTGTAAGCCAAAACTGAGAATGACCAAAATGCTTCCTCTCTCTGTGTCCACCCACCCCTCCCCGACAAGCCTCGAGCGCCTAGCCAATCAAACGCGTGAACGTGTGTTGGAAAATTTCTTCAGTTTACCTCTTACAAATGAACCAAAATTAAGGAATATTGTTCTTTCGTGCCTGGAATGAAATAGGAAGCTAAAATGACTGCTGGAAAAAGGCACAAGCAGATGAAAATATTAAATTTGAACGACGGGCCTGAATCGATTCCGTTGCATCCCTCGAAAGAAAGAAGCCGTGTTTACCCATCTGTTAGGTCACATGTTCAACAAGAGCCAATCAAATTTCGATATGGTGAAGACTTACGTCACATTCTGCGAGCTTACCTCTCGTCTTCCTTTACGTTTAAGCTTTGTTGTGGTTCAGTTGTGATCGGCCTTGAGTTACTTTAACGCGATCAAGAAGTCCTCTGAAGATGCCAGCTAAGCAGCGAATGCGTGTTGCTAACGAAAAACACAGCCAGAATGTTAATACGAGGGGAAATGTACCCAAATCTCTGGTGAGTGGAACCGTTTTGTCGCGTGAAAAAAATTGTCATCAGCTACTAAAGACGATCGGGAATATGAAACGTTTGATTTCGCCAGGTTGTAAACTTAAATATTTTCATATCTTTAGAAACCACAAGAAGAGAAATATCCCGTCGGTCCTGTTCTTCTTGGACTATTCATTTTCGTCGTATGTGGATCAGGTAAGACTAAATACGAAATGTGGTTTTAATTTACGCGTCTGTGATCAGCTTTGATTCTTCATTGCGTGTCGTTCGCTTTAGATTCACAGCCTCAAAAGCCATTGCCGTTGTCTCTCTACATGACTGCATTTTTGTTTCTTCCCCAGCAATTTTCCAGATCATCCAGAGCATTAGAATGGCTTAGCGCCGATAACATGAAAATTTTGACCGGAGAGGGACTACACAATTTACTCTTGCTTATTACGTGTTTGTGAGAGATTGAAACAATAACTTGAGAAATGTAGTGCTAAATCTATCTGTTTTCTAAACTTCTTTTAAATTCCGTGGTGTGAGTTGTCCTTATCGCACAGATTCAGTCTATTTTGTAAACAAGTGTTGGCTTTTTAACTTTATTTTCTGTCCTCTAAGTTCTGGTTGGATCGATATAATATCATATAAGATTTCGTAGTATTTTCTTACAGTGTCGCGGAAGAATTCACAGTAAATACATAGCGATCATGAAATTAGCTTGTAAATCTATTGAGGACTACTCGAGCTCTCTTTAAAATCTAATGTTCACAAAGATACTTTATGTGAATAAATATGATTATTTAATTAGAGAAATGCGTCTTGATGTATTCAAGTGTAAAATGATTCGAGGAGGAAGTAGCTTAAATTGAATCAAAGCTGTGTGTGATGACGATTTCAAATACCCACAGTCACGAAATCAGAGGAATTTTTCCGGATTTAACGTTTTATACCCTACCATCAGTATGCATATTCTCCATACTGTTCTCCATACATTTCCAAAGAGGGTGTCAAGGAGAATTTGTTTTACAATCAAGAGCTGCTTTAGTTGGTGATCATCTCTATTCTCATCACTTTCATGTTAGATTCAGGGGTGAAATTGTAAGGTGAAATTAGATGCTAGTCCCTCTTAGGGGCTAAAGGGTTAATAAGATATTCTGTTGGGTACCAATAATTGGTGCCTTGACTAAGCCCAAATTAGAGAAGATTGGAACACAGACATTGAAAAGCTCAATTCAAAAAGCTTTGTGTTAATGGTTCCAAGATGTTAAGATCAGATTCCAGTTTCCATTTTATCCCATGCTTTATATGGCAATGGTGACAATCCCATCAAGCTGTTTTAAGGGGTATGCCAGCTTTTTCTAAAGTAGGTGGTTTTTGTGGGGTTACTATCTTAATTTGGTGTGTCGAGCAAGGGTCATCAATCTTTTCTTTATCTCCTGGTTTGATATTAATTAAACATTGTTAAAGAACAGGAATGATTGGATAATGCAATTCAAGAGTTTTCATTGGCATTGCCAACCCTTGAGTCATGAGCCATTATACCACAATGACAAGTTAAACTGGAAGTGTTTTTGTACATTGTCACATTCTGTTTGCACTTAGAAAATGAAGTTGGTAAAGCTTATTTGTATTATAGGCATTTTTAATAGAATAATTATTTGACTATGGGATGACTATATGGCCAATAAGGCCTACGTTGGCTATCTATCATCTCATTTCCTGGATACCTCTAGGGGTCTTAGAGGGAAAAATAGCCAGTGTGAGAGTTTCCTGACTGATAAAGAAATGATTACAGATGAATAGGATTCCTCACAAGGAAATTACTGTTAGTTTAAAATCAGGGGTTGAACACCTGCACTATGAAATGTCCAGTTGATAAAAGTTAAAACAGGAGGACATTCCCAGTGTCTACATGACATAGGGCTCAGGCCATCAAAATTCAGCTGAAGAACTCTGTGATCTGCAATGCTTAATGACCTCTCTATTGCCAATTTCTTGAACTTTGCAAAAAGAACTGCAACATTACAGCTGTCACTGATAGGGGTATTGCTGACCAAGCAGGAAACAAATTTAAATCCATGTTGTGGAACAGATAGAACATGTTGAGGGGTGAAGTTGAATGGTGGTCATTTCTGGGGTTTAAAGTCTGATGCTGCACTTACATAGTATAACAGACAAATGTTACAATTTGAAATGTCAATGTCGTGATTGTCTTTATTGTTCCTAGTACCGGTAGCATCAAAGACTCCTGAAGGATATGAGAATGCTTTGACTGGAGGAAAATTTTCTCAATAGACATTTAGGAAAACATGTGAGAATCAAAAAGGCTAAGCTTACCTACGAAGTTAATTCAACAGCTTTACCATTTTCCAATTAAAATAAATACAAATTTGTTACTAACTTAAGGTAGCTGTAACCTCTTATTCTGTGTAAATCAGCTTGTCTCAAAATAATGCAACTTTTTCTGAGGACAATACTTTCAATTTCTTTTTTACAGAGAAAAATAAATCTATGTTTATAAGCTTATCACAACCATTGTGGGACTCTCTGTTCCATTGCTAATCCAGTGAGGTCATGGCCATGGATGTCACAATGTTCATTGATAGTAATAGCAGCTTTTGATAACTTGAACAAATTATACATATCCAGGATAAATTTCAATACATCTTCACTAATTAATGTTGTGTTGGAAAGCTCTGGGAGATAATATCAGTTTTTTTGATAGTGCACTTTCTTAAACCCAAAAAACTTGTGGAGAATCTTGCCACAAAATTCAACTCTAACTGTAACACTCACAAAACCATGAACACCCAAAATATTTCTGCAATACTTTTTGTGGGAAGTCCATTATATTGGAGATCAGGACTTGCAAGAATTCCACAAAAGCACTACTTGCCAGCGATTAAATTTTCTCGTGTCTGATTGGCCTACTTTCTACCACACAATCACAATCAAAAATATTTTCTGTGTTCACCATCTTCTGAGTATCAAAGAAGCTAAACGTTTGTAACTTGCATTCTCTCCAGAAAAGCAGTGGTCTTTGAAACTTCTTGCTATTCAAAGCATACCCAGAATAATTGCCAATTTCAGTTTTGTTTCTTTGCGGAAGCTTTTTACTTATGGTATATTTCTTCCTCCATGGTCCACTTTCATTAATATCACACTCCACAAAGTGTTCATGGACAGGAAAACTTTTTGCAAAAGCCTAATGACCAACAATTCTCAATGCTGCACAAGATGCCCAGCTCTCAAATCTGTTATTCCTCATAATTATTATTATTTCAAATAATTATTACCAAATGTCTCAGTTAGTAACACACAAGCTTTTATTAAACTAAGGCAATAGTAAATCAACGGGCAACTCTTTCTTCTTTATTGTGCTTGTTGGCTTGAAAGATAGTTTTCCTCAAGGAGAGCCTTTTCAAGGGTTACTCACTCTTCAGAGGTAATCAGACTTGACCCCAAGAAGCCAAAACCTTTGCAAATTTAGTAAACACTGTGTGGAAAATTACTAGCACTTGGCTTTTGATGATCAAAGCTCTAGCATTCTGTATTAAGTCTTCAGTTGGACCATTCTGACATGCTGACATGATATAGGACAATTCAGTACTGGAAGGATCTTGCATTAGCTTAAACCCAACTTGGAAAAAGCAAACCGCTAAAACATCTTGGTACAATCCAGGAGTGAGCTAGAACATGACGCTGTGAAAT